TGTCATCGTTGTTCTTTCAACCTTTTGAACTATTACGTCAGTCCACCATTTACAAAATTTACAAGTCATAATTATTTTTCTGATTCCAATTTAATGTGTATACTTCATCTTTTGAATATTTCATTTTTCTGAGTGTACTCAAAATTTAAATTGCATTCCCGATCTAAATCATGTGACAAATACTGTGTATAATATTTTATAATGTTTTTATGCGTATATTTTCTGAATTTCCTTTACATACTTACGTACTTCTATTTTTGAAGTCTATTACTTTTGAAGTTTTTGATAGTATCCTCTTTTTGAATTCATTATAACTTTCTTCGAGAGCACAGACTTACATTGATTTTTGGTTCAAACTTTTGATGTTTGTTTACATATTTTTGAGTGGTTTTGAACTTTGACAGTATTTTGTAGTCTGGATAGTTACATAGATTCGTTGCGATGTATGCCTTGAGGGTCTTGTACTATCCACAGTTTCTTTAATTGAAAGTGTTTCTTCATATGCATTTTATTTTCTTCTTGAGACTTGTCATATATGCTTTCCGCCTAGTTGCAAATCTGTGCGTATTGATAAACTCTTGAAACCTCTGGCGTATAAGTAAAACTCACTTTTGATATAGTTATTTATGTCTCAGTTCAATTCAATCAGTTCAATTTGATTTGAAGTAATAGTCAATTCCTTCTTGAGATTTTTCATATATGCTTTCAGCCTTTGTGCACATTTGTGCGTATTGCTAAGTCTTGAGCTTGGTTGCGACATTTCATTTTTGATCACTAACCTCTTAGTTTTTGAAAGTATTTCTTCATGTGCAGTTTTTTGATTTCTTGAGACTTTTCATGTACGCATATATAGCCTAATTGTTGGATCTCTGGTGTACTGATATAGCTCTCATGATGTTTGGCACGTAGGAAATTTACTTTCAAAATTATTTGTTGTTGATAGTTTACATATTCTTATATGCTTTGTGCGTATTGCTAAGTCTTGAGCTTGGTTGCGACATTGCTTTCATGTTTCGCTATAGATTTTGAAATATCTGGTGATTTTGCTTTTGCATTATTGCATTTGTTTTGATAGTCTGCTCTCATAATTTTTTTTCCGACTTCTTATTTCTTTCAATTTCTGTCTTGACTTGAAGTAATCGCCAATTCTTATAGATTCAGTATAGTAATTCTCTTTCCATACTTTACACTGGTAAATCATTATAGTTTTTCTAATTTTGTAATATTTCATATTTGAACTTAACTTTCATTTTACAATGTTATGGTTATTCTCAGTGTAGACTTTGAAGTGCGCTGATGATATCAGTGATCTACATGAAAATATTCCATAGACTATAGACATTCTTGTCTAGGGCTTTGGAATGCACCTATGGTGACCCTAGAAAGTTGTCTTTCTCTCATATTTTTGCTTTAAATCAAAATTCGAATTCTTACCTATCATATTTATTTCTATTTCTTGTTCACTAGATTTTTTTTATAACTCCAATTTTGCACCTACATATACGTATATCGTAGTCTTTTGCATACAATTTTTGCTTGCGGCATTACTCTCATGTATCATGATTTAATAAAATATCTTGTGATTTTCGTTCCGCTATTTTGCATTTTACATATGCTCACTTCGTTTCTCATTTATTACTCATGAAACTTTTAATATTTTGCTTACTTTTAAATTTTTTTTGAGAACCCTTCATAAAATCATGCTCATATAGCTTTAATATTTCCTTTCACTTTATGATTTTAACACTATTAGATTTACAGTTGCACTTGTGTTGCACTTAGTTTTTTTTTTGGAAATTTATTTTGCTCTTTTCTATATTGTACTTCAAATTTTTTTTTTTGGTCTGGTTCTTATGTTGTCACATGACCCGAAAATTTTGATTGAACTTACTCTTGAATTTTAGTTCATTGATTGAACTTAAGCTATATTTTGACTTTGAAAATCTTACTTCAATATTTCATGAATGTCCCTTATATACTGTAATTCTCTGAAAATATTTTGAATTATTTTGTAGTCTTACAGACTGCTGGCGCCCGACAATTTTTTTGTGGAATCAGAACTGCACTTAGTTAACATCTTTTTTGATTAAAATACCTTCGTGATCAAGTTTTCATTGGTTTAGTACTTGTAAATTGTTTTGTTATATAACTGGAATTCTTAATAGAATTTGTTAATTTCTTTTGATTTTCATATTTTGAAAATAGTAATGCACAGTTTTTTAATATTGGATATTAGTTTAAAATATCACTGTAGATCATAATCTTTTTGGGTTTGGAGTATTGCGAGATAATCTGGCAATTGTTTTGAGAAAGATTATTATTTTTTTTAGTACCTCTTATGGTTTAGGTACTTACTTAGTTTTGAAGTTTTTAGTAGTCAGTCGTGCATTTTGGATGCCATTGTGATTCATGCTTGGACTACTGCTGAAACTTTTGGTTTATTATTTTTCTCGTCTTAGGTATGACGATGTTTTATGTTTTGGGTTTTTCATCATATGATGATAGTTTTTTTTAAGTGCAACTTCACTGTACTTTTCAGCGAGTTGGTGCTATAACCATCCCTCTTGTTTGGTAGACTTGAGGCTATCCCTTTTCCTTCCAATTCTCTTCTAACATTTTTGTTTCTACCTTACTTTTACTACTTGTTATCTGGTCGAATGGTTGTACATTTGTCCTTCCGTGATAACTTTCAATTTCCTAGTAAAAAAAAAAAAATTCTTAAATGCTTCTTCGATTTTTTTTTTTTGGTTAAGTTGGGGCGAGTGTAACGGTTTCACCGTCCGATCGTATTTATTAAATCACTTCTCGATTATCATTTCATTAATCCCATCTCTAGCTTTTTTGCTTGGAAAATTTTCCGCTTGGAGCGCTTGATGCGGAGTTCCTGATCTGCGATCTTCCTCGCGCTTCTTTTTCACCTGAGCCGCCGATCGAACAACGGCTAGAAATTTCTTTTCAGTAGCACAAGGTTATATAGCACCATGTGCTAGAATTTTCTAAAATGTGTGTCCGTATAGGACAAAAATGATTGGGGCCACCCCCTTTCTCTTTCCCTTTCACTTTGCCTAGCCTTGGCCAATATTTTCACCCATGCATGTGCCTTGGCAGCGCCATCGCCTTTAACTTCGCCTACAACTGGTTACGAAGCCACTATATGTGAGGTCACCCCTCACAACTGGGACCTCCCCTTCAAGCCCCTGGCCATCCTGGCTTCAGTCGAGTAAAAATGGACCAGCGAAAGATAAGTCGATAGCGTTATAGCAGCGCCAAAGATGTAAAACTTATTTTGTTATTTTTGTAAAATTGTAATGTAATGAAAATGCCTTTTTTTTTTGTTAAATAAAATCTGTTAAATTTTTGTGTTCTGTTTGTTCTTCTATCCTCTAGCCATGCCATGGTCGACACACAGCTACACGCCTGTAGATGCCTTCATGCCACCGACTGAGCTACCGGAAGCTAATGGTAACCCCCTTTCTGTGATTGTGCAGAAAAGTTGGAATCTTCATTGCATTCCATCTTTTCTGGACTTTTTGCGGAAAGGAAGCGTTACAAGCTTTGGCACACATTACAGACGATATTATAACAGCTAATGACAACAGTAACTGTACTGCACTAGTTTTGTTAGATTATAGCAAAGCATTTGATACTATAAATCATGACGTTCTGATTGCAATACTTGAATCATGTGGGGTATCAGGTCATAATAAATAGTTATTCGAATCTTACCTATAGATAGAATGCAACGTGTGAAGATCAATAATAATCTCTCGCGAGTAAGGACAATAAATCAAGGGGTGCCGCAGGGTTCGATACTCGGACCGCTATTATTCACGCTATATACTAGTCAGCTCTCCAAATCCCTTGAATACTGTAAGCCTCACATGTATGCAGATGATACTCAAGTGTGCCTTTCATTCCTTGGTGATGATTGGCCAATGGCGGAGTTTAAAATTAATGCTGATCTTGACGCTCTATTTAAAACTTCTAATGATTTCAATGTCACTGAATCCAAAAAAAATCAGCAGCAATAATTTTTGAGAAAGATCGGTCAGAGATAATGAACAATATGACGCTACATATACGTTAGATAATGTTCTAATACCGTTCTGCGATTCTGTTAAAAATTTGGGTCTCATAATAGATTTTAAGCTCAGATTTAAAGAGCATATTTCAAAATGTATACAAAGAGCGTATTATGCACTCAAGCTGCTTTACCCTCATAGACACTTTCTTAGCAGAGACATCAAACGAATGCTATGCGAAAGGTTGGTTTTGTCCCAGTTTTCGTATGGTGCTCCTGTCTATTATCCATGCTTGGATGCTGATACGATATCTAGAATTCAGCGTGTTCAAAATTCATGTATAAGGTACATTTTCGGTATAAGGAAATATGACAGAGTTAGTCACAAGCTGAAGGATTTACAGTGGTTGAACATGAAACAGCGTTCAGAACTACGTTTCTATGTTTCTACAATAATATTTTGTCGAGCAAGTCACCGCCATATTTGTATGAAAAAGTCATGTTCAGAGAAAGTCTTCATTCTGTCAATGTTCGTTCGAAACAGAATATTTCTGCTCCATTCCATCGAACATGTTTTTTCGAACGTGGCTTCTCTTACAACATCTATAAATTATACAACTCCATCCCCCAGCAAATCAAAAATATGAAAGGTTGCAAATTCAAGGCAGCTCTGAGACGATTCCTTTTAGATAAGTATAATTAACTTCACTGATAATACTGTAACATTTAGCTTTTTTGGATGAATCTCATGATTATATGATGGAATATTTTCAGTTTTATATTTTCAGTGTTATTTGTTTTTTTTTTGTACTCATGCTTTTTTTTCTGCTCTCATATAGTTAGTAGTAGGCATGTAACAGTGTTGATATCACTATTTTAAAATAGAGCAGGGGATGAGTGGAAGAGCACGCAGGTCGTGAACTCCCCCTTGAGATTCGAGAGCAATTATTTCTATTTGTTGAACACTATTTTTGTATGCAGTCTCTTCGAATAAAGCCATTTATTATTATTATTATTATTATTATTATTATTATTATTAAACACTCGTTAATGGGAAGTTTCCTTCCGCAGACAGGGACAACCATTTAGTTTGAAAAGAGGAAAAAGCATAGCTGATGGTTACTCTCCTGCTCTTTCAACAGATAAGCTCATTTTCGCGCAGACACGGGATCAGCTCTATTACCGTTATTATGAATCCAGTAGCTTTGATCTTGCCTCTATTTACACTATTCCAAGAACCTCTTCCGATGTTGCACATGTGGTACTGCAACAGCGTTGGTTCGTATATCTCGTTCTCATTTATTGAGGTTTCCCAACCTAACCAGCATTGGCAGGTACCTTCTTCAGTTACATCTCCATGATGACAAATCATGTTGCTCTGAAACAATATAAACATACAGGGTATAAAGTCAGTAGTGGATCAACGGAAGTCAGGTGATAGAGGGCCTCAAAACATATCGGATGAACCCCTATACGAGTGGTCCGAAATTTTATAGTTCAGGAGATGTTTGCAATTTGGTGATATTTCAGAGATTCGTCCTAGCCGTGCGAGCGATGCTGTGTACTAATATTTTGTAAAATCAAAATGGCGATTTTTTTACGCAAATAGCCAAATCAGCCTAATGAGCTTGGGCATTCTACTTGGCATTCCAGGTGTGGGAGCGTTCAATCTTTGATCCGACCGAAATTACTAAGTCAGGCAATGGTCCAGCGCGGAATTTGTATCTAACGTTTGGCATCTGAGTAGAATCATGTCATATCCTCCGCGAGATTTTGCAGAAATGCATTACTATTATGGTGCTGCCCTAGGAAAGGCTCGAGCAGCTGCTCGCATGTATCGGGAGTATGTGGTTAGAAGACAACCGGCGGTATATCCCGACTACCGCTCCATAATGAGTATATAGAGTGACGCGTACCAGGCTCTCATCGTCAGCTAGAAGCGCCGAAGATACGTCTAGAAAAAATAGAAGATATAATAGAAGCAGCCGAGAGAGATCCCTCTGTAAGCATCAGAGCCATTGTCCGAAGAAGAAATATATCCCATACTCGGAGAACATGCATTTTTTTATATCGAAGCAGCCGCGCAGGCAGAAGCCTAAATGCCGGAACACCGCGACTGCTATGATGATACCAAAGAAATTTTATTAATACGATTTTTGAACTGCCTAAGGTTAATAGAACTGGGAAAAGCTTTCTCTTGTAGATTTTTCCACAATCTCGACAGCCTCGGGACAAAGGAGCGGTCGTATCGGCCGGTTCTGGATGTACGAAGTTCGACACGGTTAGGATGGGACGCCAAAGTCAGGCGGGTCTGTCTGGCAGGCTCATCGCGCGGCGGCATTATGGTAGAGAGCTCTGAGGAGCAAAGCCCGTTGGTGAAACGGTAGAAAAGAGCTAGATCGCCGACAGCCCGCCGGTGCCAAAGAGTCCCGAGACTGTCTGTTAGAGAAGAGTCATCGATCATTCGGACCGCCTTCCTCTGGGCAGCATCGACCATGGATAATGTAGTCGGGGCGGCAGCACTCCAAACGTGTGAGCAATTTTCGAGGCTACGCCTTATCTGGGCCTTGTATAGAGTGAGAAGGTCATGCGGAGAAAAGTACTTCTTAGCCCTAAACAAATAGCCTAGCTTTTTCCCAGCGGCTGCAGCTATTGACGAGATGTGTTCGTGCCAGATCAGGTCCTTGGTGATCTGGACTCCGACCAGCCTAAATGAATTTCTCTTTGGCAGAACTCGACCATCCATCGAAACCGGGTGAGCGCAGGGACGCTTTTTGTTCGTCAAAGTACAGTGCTGCGTTTTGGAAGCATTGAACTGTACAAGATTGTTGCGTCCCCAAGCAGTGATAGCCTCCAGGTCTCTTGTCAGAGAGGAAGTCATCGCTAGTCCTCTTTTTCCCAACTCAGCGGCAGAGATCGGCTTGTCACTGTGAATTCCTGCATGTAGAGGGCTGTCATCAGCGAAGCTGTGGATTGGGTTGATCGTGCAGGAAAGGAGGTCGTTGATATGTAAGATAAACAGTGTCGGAGCCAAGACCGATCCCTAGGGAACACCCGCGTTGACGTTGTAGGATGAAGAGGAGAACCCGTCAATTACGACGGATATCTTGCGTCCAGAGATAAAGTCAGCCAAAGCTTTTCTGGGAGGCCATAGGATGGAAGTTAAGAGGGCAGCGTGCCACAGCTGATCGAACGCTTTCGTGATGTCAAGAGCAACGACATGAGCCTCACCATAAGACTGGATAAGCTTACTCCACAATTGAGTGACGTAAGCTAGGAGGTCCCCTGTGGATCGTTGGTGCCAGAAACCATACTGCCTGTCGCTAATCAAGCCGTGACGTTCGAGGTAGTCCAGAGGCTCGCGATTTATGCACCTCTCCATCACCTTCCTTAAAACAGAAAGCAGAGCTATAGGCCTGTAGTTGTAAGGGTCGGTCTTAGATCCCTTTTTTGGGATGGGTTGGACATGAGCAAATTTCCAGTTTTCTGGGAAGGTGCCGGATTCATAAGATATCTGGAAGAGACGCGAAAGAACTGGAGCAAGCTCCAGTGCACACTTCTTCAGTACAATGGCAGGAATCAAGTCCGGACCAGAAGCTTTGTTGATGTCGAGCGACAAGAGCACTCGTCTTACGGTCTTATGCCTGAATGTTACCTCCCGCATAGTGAAGGGAACCCTTTGAATTGACGGCACTTGGGCGTTGGTGGAGTTGGCAGCAAAGTCTTGGCTAGCACTTCCGCCTTGGCCTTTGATACATATAATACAATAGTTCCATCCTCACATGTAAGTGGTGGAAGGCTACTTTGTGAGAAGTTTTTTTCCATATGCTTGGCCAGCGTCCAGAAAGACCGACTGCGATTGCGCTGCGACATTACCCTGTGCCTAACTTTTATACCGTGCTGGTTTTTGGCATTACGAACCGCTGCCTCATATTTGTTTCTGAACTCAACGTCGGCTTGTCTGTTCTCTACAGTGGGGTTTTGTAAGAATATTCTGTGTGCCTTGATCTTCTGCTGGCGAGCAGCGTCACACGATTTGTTAAACCAGCCGTTGGACCCTGGTCTAGACACTTTCACTGTATGAGGGATGAATTCCTCCATTCCGACGTGGATAATTTCGGTTATCGAAAAACAGACATCCGACGCATCCGCCAGCCCCTCCCAGTCGGCATGTCCGTAATGCCAAGTTTTGCGACCTGTACGAGTTTCTGCTGCCACAGCGGGTTCTGACCGAAACCTAACCTCCACAACACCGTGGTCTGTGTTACCCAGGGGGGACAGGACAGCAGTGCTGTAAGGGACAGGATGCGTGGTCAGAAAGAGATCCAGCAGGCTACTGGCGTATGACGAGACGCGGGAGAAAAAAGTAGGGCTTGTCACCAGCTGAGTCAGCCCTTGGGTAAGAGCGAACGCTTCGACTGCACGACCTGCTGCGTCGGTCTTATTTGAGCCCAACCAAAGCTCATTATGGGCATTTAAATCACCGAGAAGAACTACCTCTGAAGCGGGATGCTTAATGTTTAGGAAGTCGATCTGGACGTCGAGGTATTCGAGTAGGTCATCCCAGTTATGGTCCGAGGGAGAGCGATAAAGGCAGCAAATAAATTTAGGTGATGTTTTGGAGGTAAGGCGAAGCCACAGAATGTCCTTCCGGGCTGATTCCAAAGAAACATCTCTGGAGCAGGAAAGACTGCTGCGGACAAAAGCCACAACTCCCCCGTTCTTTCTCAGACTGGAGTGCACCTCGTAATTTTGGAAGTTAAGATGGTTATTCGGTGAAGACTCTGAGATTTTTGTCTCCGCCAAGAAAAGCATGGCGGGACGATTGGATTGCAGGTAGTGATAAACAGCATCAAGGTTGCTGTTAATCCCGCAGATGTTCGAAAAACAAATTTTATCGTCGATGTTGTTCCCTCGAGCCCACCCTCCACCCGGACATTCCGAGAGTGGAGTGAGTTTACGTCCGGAGTTCTTAGTGCTCGAGGGATCCATCATCGTTAATTTCTTTGTTTTGGAAGATAACCTACTGCATAGCTTAGGTGTGGAAGCATACGGACATTTATAAGACACCCTGGGAAAAGGTAGCGCGCGGTACTGCCTCGGTCGACTGGTCGTTGTCTACCACCTTCTTTTTACGTGTTAGTGATGTTAAATAGACCTAAAGCGGCCCGTTGGCGGACTTGTACCGCCACCCGGCAATCGGTACTGAGGTATTTCCTTAACGCGTGTACAATCAGTTGAACGGGAAGAAGTTGTATACTGGATACAACAACTTCCGGAACAAGCATTTGCCACGGCCCCGCTCAGTAGGGGGCGAAATAATAGGATATTACCACTTAATACAATCGGTATGAGCTCAAAGCTAACACAGAAGTAAACGAGAGGCTGCATAACTTACTTAGCTTGCTGTAAAGACATTCATGTTCCCCATCCAACGTGACCATACAAAGAGATGCTCCACTCGCCTTTTACGCCACATCACTTTCTACACACAATTATTATCAGAAAATACTGTGCATCCTTACCATGTACTGAAAGTATAAGAATTACTTCCAAGCTACTTTGCACAACGGGTTGAATTTTGTGAGAATATGTTAAGAAGGTGCTAAGAGGATAACACTTTTTTCGACATCATCTTATGGACGGATGAATCCAACTTTAACCGAAATGGAATATTCAACATGCACAATTTCTCTTCATGGAGCGTGGAAAATCCACACGCTATTCACCGACGCAGCTTTCAGCGACAGTTCGGCGTTAATTTATGGGCTGGAGTACTCAATAAAAAATTAAATGGACCATATGAATTGCCCTCCAGATTGAATGGTCAGTCATATGCTTTTCTACAAAGCGTTTGCATGAGCTGCTAGACAATGTACCTTTGGACGTTCGAAGCCGCATGTACCAGTATTTTCAATGCGATGGTGCCCCATGCCACTTTGCACGGGATGTACGGCATTACTTAGACAGTGCTTTTCCTTGACGTTGGATAGGTAGAGGTGGACACATACGATGGCCTCCAAGGTCACCCTATTTAAACCCTCCAGAATTTTTCATATGGTAGTTTTATAAGGGGATAATCTATACATTTGAATATACAAATATCAACCAACTGCGCCAAAAAATTGAGATGAAGCAAAAATAAAAGTTATGGAAAACGCAAATTCATTTCAAAGACTAAAGGACAATTTTATTAGAAGGTATCGCCAGAAACAGCGTCTAAACACAATAGGGTCTGTGCTTGTAGGTGGTAAGGACCCTATTGCGTTTGATACAATCATCGTATCAAGCTAAAATTTTCAGAGTCTATTCTACATGGGTTGAAATAATTTTTAAAATAAAATGAATAATGAAATACAATCTTATTTTTTTACCGCCCTCCAAAGTTGAGGGATGGAAGAGATTTTTCACAAAAAAATGAATTTAAGATTTTTGCGTTGATTTCTAATAAGCGCTGCTAAAATGTTACATAACCATTGCTAAAACTAACCAGTGAACTCATCTCAGGAAAAAAAATCACAGTGCTAAACATAATGGTTTAGTTGTAATTCCGATTGAAAATTCATTATCCCGTTTTTTTTTTTTCGAAATTTCACAAAATTGCAAATATCTCCTGAACTATAAAATTTCGGACCACACATATTCATTCGATGGGTTTTGAGGCCCTCTATCATCTGACTTCCGTTGATCCACTACTAACTTTACACCCTGTATGTATATACATATTTCGTAAATCATGTACTCCTTTATCGACTCTTTGAGCTGGAGTACTGTATCTCCAAAAAAATTATTCATGACTACAACAGCTCAGGGTAACCAAGGTTCATCACTTTTGTCACCAAAAGAAAAATCTATACATAAACTATAAAGTTTACTCACCGGAAGGACATTGACCGCGTCGGGAAGTAAAGCTTGATTATTTTCTAGTAGGTGTAAGTCATGGGTCGTTATAGAACAATTCAAGTCTATGCAGCTATTGTTAGACACTGAATATCCCTAAAAACATTGAAACTCTCAGGGAAGTTAGGGATAATATAAGTTATATCCTATTTCACGAATATCCATCACGTTTTGACATCTACTGAGGTGAACAGGTGATCAGCAAGTGACATTTCTGTGTTAGTCTGCAACGTTGCCAATCATGGATCGGGTATAAATCTAGTAAAACTTGTTTGTGGCGTTTTGTTTTTTGTACGCAAATGAACTTTCCTGAATTAAAGAGCTGTTAGCAAGTACAAAATAAATCCGCAGCGATATGAGACCAGTAAATGTGTATAAAGTAAAAAATAATATATTTCCATCAAGTCTAACTAATTTAACATCATCAAATATCGACCATCATTTACATAATACCAGAAATAAAGATGACTTCCTTTTAATGACCAAAAGATATAACATATGCTACAAATCTGTATTCCATCAAGGGTTGATTGAATATAATAAATTATACTCAGAAATAAAAGACCAGAAAACTTTCACAAAATTTAAAGTAAAATTGAGAAATCACTTGTTAAATCTACAATTATAGGTTGCCCAGATTTACATCATACACCATATGGCTTGCATTTACTAGTTCTAAGTTGTTTACAATTATTCTGTTTATGTAGCCAAATGTGCTAAATATAAATCTTTCTACTACTACTACTACTACTACAAAAAAACAAAACAAAATTCGGCTCTGTCTACCTGGCGTTGACGGATCCTTCAGAATTATGTGTCAGGTGCCGATATGGGTAATTTTGAGATATTACTAGATAATCAGCTGACATTCTGCCGTGATGGATACTCGTCAAATAGGGTATAAGAAGATCTAATATAACCTCTACAATATTTCTCTTAGCTTATCTAGGGCGTTAAAGAGCGCTGAACGTTTATTACCCCCGAGAGGCATACACAATTTTATACAGGGTGTCCCGAAAAAAGTGTGCAATATTCTACCAGCGGTTTCTAGAACTTAAAATAGAAAGAAAAGTTTATGTAAACATAGGTCGACAAACGTCCCCTACGGTCTTTTAAATGGGCTTCCCTGAAGATGGTTTTTCCTTAATATTTCCGAAACGGGTTGAGATAAAAACATAAAATTTGGTATTCTAGCCTAGTTTTTTATGCTGGATTTGAAAATATTAACAATTTTAGACAGTTTTGTTTGGAAGCGTATGTAACAGGGACGGACTCAGGTTATTTGAGCCCCAAAGTTTTTGTGTGATTCTATTTTTAAAATTCAATTTTAGATTTTGAAAATTTAGGGTTTTCTACATAAAAAAGGTACTCTTATTGAATATTGATAAATTGTGCCATTTTTGAATAAAATCAAATTAAAGAATTTGTCACGTGATAGGAAATGTACTGGGAATTTAAATGAATTGTTGAATAATTAGCCATAGCAACGAAAAAACTAATTTAGTAATTGGTAAATATTACATAAATACAAATTTCCATTGCAACAGGAACATTAAGGCAAAAACAAAAGAAATAAATTTTTTCTACGAACGAAATTGAAATTTGTTTAAAAAAGAAAAAATACAGTTGGATATACGTAAAACTAGCTTTACAATAAGTATTCAAATAAATTCCCATTTGTTGGATACAGAATCTCGCTCGACGAACTAATGATTGCGTAGCCCGAAAAGTGCAAAACATTTTTCTTCTTATTTCATTTGCAGCCTGATGGATTCTTTGAAGTAAATCTTCTTGAGTATTTACTTCAGTCGAGTAAACTAGGTCTTTTAATGACCCCCAAAAATATAAATCCAATGAATTTAGGTCAGGTGAACGTTGCGGCCACGCTGTAGGACCTCCTCGGCCTAACCACCTGTCTGGAAAATTGACATTCAACCAATTTCGAACATTGCGTCCAAAATGTGCAGGGGCGCCATCATGTTGAAAAAACATATTTTCTTGAAACTGCTGGCGCACATCCAATGGTATTATATCCATGAGCTCATTTTGAAGAATGTTCAGATACACCTCTGAATTAAGACGATTGGGAAGTATAATAGGCCCAATTACTTGATCCCCAATTACTCCTGCCCATTAGTTCAATGAAAATCTGTTGGAAATTTGTACGGCGAACAACTTTTGGATTTTCATCTGACCAGTGATGCATGTTATGGAAATTAAAAGCACCATTCCTAGTAAATATTGACTCATCCGACCATAATATTCTAGGAATAGTTTTTTGTTTGCTAATATCCACTGGCAAAACTCGATTCGTGGTAAAAAATCTGCCTCCGTTAAATGTTGTACCCGTTTAAAATTATAAGGATGTAATCCTTGCATTCTTGTCATTCTTCCTATCTAAAATTATTATTTTTAGGATAACTATCAAATAGGTATTCATAAATTTTTCTTACTATTGATCGACGTATATCCATATTTTCTGAAACATTTCGTATGCTTATTTGCGGATTATTTTCAAACATATTTAAAGCAATATCCATACGATGATTTCCAGTGGCCTTCCTGAGCCCTGCATGCGCTGAAAACTTCCATGGTTTGACAAATTCCGGTGAATATCAGTAAACATTCGACGTCCAGGTACTATGCGATTGGGAAATCTTCTTTGATATTCTCTTACGGCTGCCAATGAACTGCCATTGCAAAACCCGTACACAAAATGCATGTCAGTCAATTCTCTGCCTGTAAATCTTGGCATTTTAAATCGATTTAATAAAAATGTTGATGTTAATCTAGTTATTTTACACTGCTAACAATGTCAGCTTAACGTCAAAATAAGTCATAACAAATCAAAACAGTCATGCTAACTATGTATAATCAACAATTCATATAAATTCGCAGTGCATTTCCTACCATGTGACAAATTTTTTAGTTTGATTTTATTCAAAAATGGCACAATTTATCGATATTCAATAAGATTACCTTTTTATGTAGAAAACCCTAAATTTTCAAATTCTAAAATTGAATTTCAAAAATAGAATTACACAAAAATTTTGGGCCTAAAATAACCTGAGTCCATCCCTGTTACATACGCTTCCAAACAAAAACTGTCTAAAATTATTAATATTTTTAAAACCAGCATAAAAAAATAGGCTAGAATACCAAATTTTATGTCCTTATCTCAACACGTTTCGGAAATATTAAGGAAAAACCATCTTCAGCGGAGCCCCTTTAAAAGACCGTAGCGCCCTTAGGGGACGTTTGTCGACCTATGTTTATATAAACTTTTCTTCCGATTTTAAGCTCTAGAAGCCGCTGGTAGGATATTGCACACTTTTTTCGGGACACCCTGTATTCATGATTTGTCGAATAAGTTTGTAAGTGCATCCATTTTCAGCAAAAATGACGTGTTCCTGGAATCATCATATCATTAAGCGTTCCACCAAAAGTTAAGTACATCATAAGAGATGAATCGGTTGGATGACGGCAAAACCTCCCCATTCTGTTTTATTAGGTTGACCTGTATGTGTGTATCTAACGGAATCTTTAACATAACTTGCACCAATTTCAAGAAGTCTGATTAACTTGAAAATTTGCACAGGGGTTAAGGCCGAAGACATTAGAGAATTTCCCAGAGGTCAATCTTTTTTCACGTAAAGCTATCACTATTTTAATAGCATATAAGCTGATTAATCTGTACATTATCTGGTAAGGGATTTTGTGGATCATAACAACAGTCTGGAACTTCCTCACACTCGTTTGAGGCTGGATTAAAAAAATTCTGTTCACCAGAGTACTTGATAACGCAATCCACCGGATTACAATTTGAAGTTGGGTCTGTGTCTACTGTCGGGCAAGCAGGCCTATCTGGAAGAGAATAAAGTTGTCAATTATTTTTCCTAAAGATAATTACCCATTATAGCATACTAGACACACGTATCCGGCTCGAAAATATTTTTTGCAAGTAGCCAAAAAATATTTTGGAAATATAACAAAATATCTCCTTGAATTCCTGGAGAAAAATTATGTTGAACTAAGTTTGAAAGGCTCGTCTAATGGTGATCTTGATCATTGACCTTCAGGGTCATTTTAAGGTCAATACAATTTTTGTTATAGGAACCTCTAATGTTGACACCTTAAATGTTAAGAGCAATTTTACGTTTAGGCATGTCCTTTTTCATGACTGTGTCCTTCAAAGTCATTTGAGAAAGACTAAAAAGTATGAACATGAGACAATATCTCAAGAATACGTTTCATATAGGAAATATATCAAAACACAGTTGTAAAGTTTATAGAAATGTAAACGAACGCTGAGATTGAACGTGGACTTGACTTTGACTTCCAAGGTCATTTAAAGGTCAAGACAATTGTCTTAAATGGAACCGGACTACCGGACACCAGAAATGTAAAAGGCAGTAAATGCATGTTCAAGTATATCTATGATCTTGACTATGACCTTAAAATCATTTTGGATTAGACGAATTTTTGTCGAGGAAATGAAAATAGCTGATCAGTTTACAGGCAAGGGCACTATCACGTAGTTCACCGTCACCACGGCTATAGCCCTCAAGATCCTTTGAGGCTGAAATTAATTTTTTAACGGAATGCCTCTATTCCTGCCTCCGAAAATGTAATTTCAAGTCCCCTAAGTCCTTGACCATTGCAAATCTTTCACGATCGTGCCACATTCAAGGTCACTATTGGATGGCCCTTATTACGGAGCACACTTTTCGAGATATAACCCTGAAGGTCATAGACAAAGTAGTGGCTAAATGGAATTGGAGGCCATACTTTATTTTGAAGCTTCCTACGAGTAAGGCCAGGTTCAGGGTCACCATTAGATGGCTCTCTTTCAACCTCACAACTTTGTTATGCAACATTATTATTCACATTTTTCGAGATATGACCTTGGAGGTAATGGTCAAGGTCATAAGCAAGGACTCAGTTGAACGTAAAATTTTCTGCTCTTCTCATTTCCGCTGTCAGTAATAAGTGTTCCATTAAAACACTCTTTTGATCTTAAAGTGGCCTTGAAGATCATAGTCAAGGTCACAATCAAAACTATTATTAGATGGACGTTGTTTAAACTTTACAACCTACTTTTTCAACGCCCTTTCTAGTAGACACATTCTTCAAAATATTTTGGTTTTCATACATAAGGTGCTGAATGCGTCCGAAGTATTATACGGTCTAACAGACAACAAACAGGTCAATATTTGTGATTCGTTACCGTTATCTTCGTCGTCACCGCCCTCGCTTGTATTGAACTCAATTTGCTTAAGGATCGACTTTTTCGTATTTTCGTCCTGATATTGTATCTCTATGCTGCACATACCTTTTCTGTTCTGTAGGTACTGAAAATGGAATCTTTGTTACAATTTTGTAACCGTAAGAGGCATGAATAACCTTCGGAAATAAAATAATCCAAGTGGTGTAAAAATAAAAACATTGTTGTCGTTTCAATTTTCTTTTTCATTATTTTAAACAGAGCGTTAACTATTTATTCAACAATGGTAGAAACTGACAAAATCGGCTTAAACTTACAGCATGAATGAAATGCTCGAGCCATTACTAATAAAATTATACCCTTCTATATCATATTATTATTATATTTTTCGTTCTGTAAATACAAACATACGACAGTATGAATCAAACTATGAGTGATGACTCATAGTTTGCTTCATACTAGGTAGGTTAGGTTCTCAAAACCCTAAACTATTCATTAATGATTAATCAAAATTCCATAATAAGTTTTAATTTTAGCGAGATCAAGTTCTTTTTACGTATTTTGCTATTAAGTAAACAACAGTCGAGAAATCCAAATGAAGTTGAGTAATAGATTCGACCATATGCTATAATGATAGTGTGTAGAAGTTAGCAAGAACTAATTCTAAATTTTATCTAGCAGTACTTGGAGGTTCACAAACATCATTAATCCCAATCTCGGCAAAGGACAGGACTCGTATACCTGAAAATAAAGGCAGATTCATCTAATATCAAGTATCTATCTCCTTAGTCATATGTCCAATATTTTTCAACAAACAACACAACGAATTTTTCATCACATAAAGCTGATAGTCTGCCACGGTAAAGATAGCGTAAGCAATGTTCTGTTTCCATGGCCAACTTATAATTTGAGGTATTGACTTTGGAGTAGGCAATGAATTCGATCCTTTTTTGTTGCTTTGTTTTTTGAATTCTTCCAGGTTTTCATATAAATGGACCACTGTCTGTCGGATCTGAAGCTTTGTTGATACCGAGCGAGACTAGAAGCATTTTGAATGGAATCAACTAAAAACTGATACTTACTAAATTGGGATAAATTAACGTAACGTTTTTTGTATCTTTTGCATATAGTATCCCCATTGCACCTCCTATAAGATACATTAGATTACATTCGTTTCTTCTTTCCGATCTGGACGTATCACAGCACTGAACCATTTTTACATTAATCTCCAAACTGCTGTCACATACGTTTTCTATGGTTATAACTAAAATTTATATAAGATTACAGTTTGTGAAATAATTTAGAAAATCCTCTGAATACCCACAAAATATTAGAGCCATGTCGTTATCTTCTACGTGTCCTATGCCAGAATCCTGAAAGAGTAACGCTTAAAAATTATTCTCCAGTAGTTCCAACGATTCATTTCCCTATTGCCCTGGTCAAAAAATGAAACCACATTATGTTGAAATAATTCTTTCTGTCAATATGAAGATTAATTCTGTTTATACTTTACAAACAAAAGCTGTATATCTACCTTCACTTGAATGTTACCATTACAAAAGCATATAAAGATAAACATAAGCGTGAATATATGAATCATGAATATGTTAAGCCTCTTGAAACCGCGTGTGATTCATGTCAATTTGACGGGAAAAAGTGTGCCATCGTCTAGATGTAGACGTTAAGTTTTAGTTATAATTATGCCATGGGTTACTTTCAATCTATTTTCCATGGATGATGAAATTTTGCATGTTGAGAAAAATCGTATTTGAAATTCGCATGTTAAAAAAAATACTCATTTAAATCAAGAACTTTGTTGATAAAGTGGATTCCGCAATGAGCAATGAGGCGACTTTCTGATGGGGATGCTAAACTCTAGTACTCATCTCTGGAAGGTTGCAAAGTCGCTCAGAAACGGAAAGCAAGAAGAAGTCCCGGGGGCATAGTCTTTAGGATAGAGAAAAAGGTCGAGGTTTTCGCTGATGCCATGGAAAGTAAATTCTCTGGCATATATTATGATCTTGATAATGACCTCGACGAGGTGTAACACATCGTAAGATCCATCAGGAGATACTTTAGGGCCAACGGCTTCTTCGGGAGATTCCTCAACTGAAGTGTTGCACATCAGCGGAATCTCCTGAAATCCGGCATTGCACGCCAACAGAGCTTTAAGGTCATATTAAAGACCTTTAGGTGCGTAAAGCATTTGGTGAGGGTCAAATCACCAATAAGCCGCTGAAAGTGCTTTCGCTAAAATCCTTGACTTATCTCGTGGCTGTAATCAATGCCATGCTAAGAACCCAGCACTTTCCAGAGGCATGGAAGACCGCGGATGGAGTACTGATTCCAAAGAAGGGATGTTCCCAATGATTTCCATCCCGTTAGCCTACTGTCAGCTCCATTCAAGCTTGCTGAAAAGATGATTCTACATCACCTTGAAAATGTCTCGTGAGATTACCATGTGATTTCTGACGAGCAATTCGGATTTTGGTCTGAGCATAGTATGGAGTTACGGGCGATTAAGCTTGTAGAGCGAGCAACCCTTAAGGAAAGTACTGGCACCTTGCTTCTGGATGACTCGAAGACATTTGATAAGGTGTGTCGCAAGCCCCTCCTCTATAAATTGATCCAAAAGATCTTCCCATTCTGCCTCCTAAAACCCTTGAAGTCCTTCACTGAAAGTAGAAAATTGCGGATCAAAATTAATATGTTTTAAATTTTATTAGTAATTTTCTGACGACAATACGGCGAATCCGTTATTCGCTTTTTATTCATGACGTCCCTTGCCCCATCAATTGTGAAGTCTATCTTTACGCTGATGACACTGCCCTGGTAGCCTAGTCGTGTTCTGGGAATCTGGTTCAGGACTTTTAAAAGTTCGGTGGACGAGATGTTGGAATGGTCGAATCGGTGACTGATCAAAATTAATCATTAGCAGTCCATTTATTGTACTAAATATCGTATCAGTGCCCCGTCTGAGGTTTCAATGAACGGCGTTCACGTACCTTGGGAAAATTCTGCCAAGTATCTTAGTGTCACTCTTGATAATGGGATAACCTGGCAGGAGCTCAATGAAGCGTTAAAAACCAAATACCTAATTAGATTTCGGCAACTCCAGCTTAAGCTATGTAGAACTTGAAAATTAGGTTTGATCAACAAAGTTCGACTACACGGTATTTTCTCTCCAAAACGCATTTGCCTAATGTACAAGGTTTGCAAAACAGAACCTTGTACACAATCACTCCATGATATGTCTCCAATGAGACCCTTCACAGAGTCCTCGACATCCGTTACCTAAGGAAATATATCAAACAACCGTATCTACTTTATAGTCAAGCGGAATCACATAGCAACCGTTTGTTGCGTTAGTCACTATACTACAGCAAGTTCACAAGCACACACGACTGGGGCTCATGCTGTGAACAAAATTGAATCGTGCGACTTTAGGTCCAAACAAGATTACAATTGTTCTACAATAATCAATCTCTAAATTAATTTTCGGATCAATTCATAATTCCCAAATACTAATTAACAGTGCCAAGGCACCCATCAAACTGCCTTTTCTCTCCCTCCTTCCCTCCTTCCTTCCTTTCTCTCTTCTTTCCTTCTTTCTCCCTGACTTTGTCTGGTATTTGAACAACCAGACCTGACAGGCCTACTGACTTACTATATTTGAGTAAAGAGCAAAGATCTCACGGACCGCTTCAGGGATTATGTTTAGCTTCAGACGCAACCGACTTTATAATCAAGCGCAATCGAACAGGAACCCTCTGTTGCGTGACTCGGTGGATTATACAGTAGAGCAAGTTCGTAAACATTCAAAGCCACGGCTCGCATTGTGATCATAAATTAGCGCGAACTTTCAGTAAATTACACTCTAGCAAAACCTGAATCAAAATTTGTTTTTAGTTCACCTCAAAATTAATCTGTGTACCAAGTCAAAAACCATAGGTGTTTCCTCTTAAACTAAAATACATGTTTATTTCTTTTCTTCCCTTTTTATCTTTTTCCTTGACATTGTCTGGTTTCTGGGCAACCAGAACTAACAGATTCGACTAACGTACATTAGACAGTAACACATGGGCAAAGGTCCTACGAAACGCCCAGACAAACAATCGACAAATAGTCTCACGGACCGCTCTGACAGACAATGGCGAATAGAATCAAAAAATTGAGGTTAATATTACGTCAAAATGAAATACTCGTATTCATAGATGCCAGGGTTGACAAAACGTGGGACATAGAATAGCGAATATAATTTTGTTAGTCTTACTTTTACTCAACCTTTCTCACTGGTACGTGTAAATGGGATCTCTACTCAACTTCGCAGGTAAGCAGTCGTTGATAGACAGATTTAAATGAAATGCAGAAATAATTGACAAAAAACCGTGTGACAGCAATAAATGATTGAACTTTCAGTGTTAATAAGACAAAATGTATGACCAAACTGTCAGTTATAATATAATCAAAAGCAATGCGATAGCCATATTCAGGACTTCATTTCTAAATCTTAAAATAATGACTGTCGTATCATTGGTCATTTTAGAAACAGTAGGGATTATCTTTAAAAAGAAATCTGAATTCGAAATATTAAATATAAGTTACGGTATTAAACAAAGGAAGATCTTAAACAGAATCAACGATTTAAAGATATTCCACCGTGAACTTAAAAACCTTTGTATAGTATATGTAAACCATAGTATACCTTGTGTGAGCTCTATAATGCATTAACTTAAGATCCACACATGTATTTTGTTATAGTTTAGTTTCAAGTTAGCATTGTCATTAAGAATGATTGTATTATTCAGACGATAAAGCATATTTATCTAGCTATACCAATATATATCTATCACATAAGCTCTATGCAATGACCCTCTTTTTTGCAGAAAATGAGTAATGCTTGATAGCCCCAGAAACTTACTCTGAAAAATTTGCCCATATTCTGAATGACACCAATGCCGGATTTGCCACACCCATGAATCGTAGTAATTTTCTGGGACTTGTATATTTTAAAACTTCCAAAATGTGGAGATTTTCAGGACAGTAACAAAAACCAACAATCATGTAGGTGTACATATTTATTAAAACGCTTTTTATCCGCAATGTTTCAGATCTAAAACTTGAACTTCTTCCTTCTCTTAGGCATAACAGCAAGCTGTTGCTCCTCGTCCACAGCATTCATTGCCACTATTTCGGCGCTCTTCTTCTTGACGTCGTCGCGTGTCAAGACAGATGAATCCAAAAAGACTGCTTCGATCAGAGATTCTTCGCTCATCACTATATCTGCCTCCACCTAAGAATTAGGACATGTAGTCAATCCTTCCAATATAAGTCGAGAACAACATTTCTTTGGTCGGTTGAACGAAAGCAGCATGTAATCTTCTTCAATCTTAGGAACCCCATTCCCCTTCGGAGAAAATTTGCTATCCCCCGCTCATCAAAAAGCTTTTGGAGTAGAGAAAATTTCACAAAAACGTCTTCTCGCCATCGCCCCCCTTGAGAAAAATTTCTGTGGTCGCTAGAGTTACCAGATGGGATATCTAAGCGAAATTTCAAAAAGTCCGGATTTTGAAATTATAAGATCCATACCATATCATTTATCTATTTACAATGTATAGTCAACGCCAAACAAAGTGGCGTGCACGTCATCACGATAAAAATTCCCCGACCTAATGCCTAGGTTTCTATCACAAACAATTGCTCTATTGCAGTTTCATATTAATGTGATATATAAATTGTAAAATGGTCATTACTCTCTTATTATGGTTAATAGTCATATAAACATTGTTATTAAAATATCACATAAGTTGCTTTCTGATAAATTTAGACGCATTATGCGAAATAAAATGTTTTGCAAACGCTCCAATCACTTATCGACATGTAAACGCACTAAACCTATTTCGCAGCGTTGACACATTGTCACCTTGAAACTTATTTAAACTGGGAACTGACATTTGTATTAATTTTGACACTGAATCAATTTGTGGCATTTCAAATCTTTATAAATCCTTTGGCCCCGCATACTGTAAATCAACAACTGTTTGTTTCAAAACAACATTATTCATTTTACGAGTAGATAAAGGCAATTTTGGTATATAAAGATGCCCAAACAGTTAAATAGTCGGTGTAAGGAACTCGTGGCCTCGTTAATGCACTACTTTGAGCAAGAAAGGGACAACAACGGGCCTTTGTTGCCTTTAAATGCTGTTCAAGAGGTAGGTTACTAATAATTATATGTAATGTATATTAATAATAGTGAAATTTTATTTCATTTTTTGTAGCGTGTTGCTGCTGCTTTAAAAAGTAGTTTAAGGACAGTTAGTCGTATTTCCGAGGGTGTGAAAAGTGAGAAGAGTTATATTAAACGTGTAACCAACACAGCGACATTGGATACAAGTGCCATTCGAGAAGTGATCTATAATATGTATCACAAAAGTAAGATCTTATTATAATAACTTATCAGAAATTTGCATTAATTTGTTAACTAAATTATAATGTCATATTACACATGGTTTCAGAAGAACAAGTTACGATACAAACTTTATGGTCTCGATTAAGAGATAGGGCATTATTTGATGGTAGTGCCACGTCTTTAAGGCGGTTGCTTAGAGATCTTGGATTTAAGTGGCTTAAGGACAATCCGCGACGAGGGCTCATGGAACTACCAAGTATAGCTTTGAAAAGGGTGGAATTTCTAAGGCAATACAATCAAGCCAAGGTTGAGGCCTTATACCAGTTTGTCTTCCTCGATGAAACTTGGATATTTCAAAATGGGACCATAGGTCGCTCTTGGCAAAATGGAAACCAAAAAAGCGTGAAAGCTATTAAAACAGATGGTAAAAGGTATGTACTTTTACACAATTTGCACTATAAAATTTAAAACTAATATATTTTAGATACATTATATTACATGCTGGAAATGAAAATGGGTTTATTGAGGGTAGTGAAGCGATATTTTCCTCGAAAACAAAATTGAGCGATTACCATGGAGAGATGAACCAGGACAATTTTTTGAAATGGTTTCAACATCAGTTATTAGAAAAATTGAAGAGTCGATCTATGATTATACTGGATAACGCCCCTTATCACAGCATGATATTGAACAAAGTGCCCAACAATGCATGGACAAAAAAAATATCCAAGACTGGTTGACAAATCAAAACATACCATTTTTAAACACAATGTTTAAAACAGAGCTATTGAGTATTGTTGCTCGGTACATAATGCTTCTTAATTATATATATTTTGGTCGACAGTTTATATTTCTTTTGTTTATTCCTATTCTTAAAATAACTGCTTTTTTAGAAACAAACCTCCTAAAATATACGTGATTGATGAATTGGCGGAACAACATGGGCACAAAGTTCTTCGTCTGCCTCCTTACCATTGTATATTTAACCCTATTGAGTTAATTTGGGGCATAGCAAAAGGTTACTATAACAGACATATTGGTAGAGATGGTAACAGTGAAAAAGACTGTTTGGATATGTGGAACGAGGCTGTACAAACGGTTACCCCAGACATGTGGAAAAATAGTGTTCTACATACTGAGCAAGAAATTTTTAAATGGTATGAAAGAGAACGAATTTTTGATCGACCAGACATCGAACCTTTAATAATCAACTTTGAGAGTGATGAAGATTCAGATTCAGACAGCGCTGAAGAAAGAATCTCCGACTAACTTTATTGTACAGAAAAAGCTTACACCAGTAGCTTACCTAATTTTAGAATGCATTTTTCTGTATGAATTCTGTAAAATAAATACCATGCATAAAATTTGGAGGACCCCATTTGGATTTTTATTCAGTACCTTTAAGCTATCAATTAAATATGGTAGTTTCATAGTGTCATCTGATCAATAATTGTCATACTTAATGATTATGCAAGTACAGATCTATAATTTTATTATACTATTATTTTTGTTCTCATTTGAGGTTAATATTGCTTATAAACCTAGATATGTAAATAATAAATTTTATTATTTTACAAAAAGTTTGGCAACAATGTAAATTTTTCAACACACCCACCTTGATGACGTGCACGCCACTTTGTTTGGCGTTGACTATACATGTGAGGTCTTACAAACTAGTTTATTATCTATCCGAGTGACGTCATAGCATTAACGTACTCATCAACTGAATAGAAACAGTGGTTAAGCAATGTTATTTTAGCAAACTTCGAAAAATAGTGATTAGACATATTTTCAAAATGGTTTTCCTGATTTGCATTGACGAATAAATTATATAATTTAACGTTAGGTCTACTATTTTTAGTCATATTCAGTCGCGAGTATGGATTCCTTAGGTAAATAACATTACGTAGTGCATGGGTGTGCATTTATGCAGAGGTTTGATATTTGTTTAGATTTCTATGCACATAACATAGAACTTCAAAAATATAAATTGATGAACTTGTAGGTATTTGAAGTGATTCATGCCATTGGCGGATTTTAAAGGGGGCGCGTGGGCGCACTTGTTTTTGTAATCTAACACCATTGTGTTACTTTCTGACACACCATGGCGACAGAGGCATACTAACTATAAGTTATAGCTATAGAAACTTAGCATTGCGATTTTTTGGTATCCTTTGGTATTCCAAACTCTTTGACATCACTTACATTTACGATTTACACGTATATACGAATACAAGTACTCGTATTGTGACTTGTGACAAATCTAAGTAATATATTAGCTATACAGATTGCACTTAAAAAGTGTTTTATGTTCTGTTTGTTGTTCAGTAATTCGAAAAGTGAGTAAAGCTTGACTGATTTTGTTCGGGGTTGGTGTTGCAGCGAAGCATTATGTTAGATGAACGCCTAAATTGGAAATAGACATTTATGAGATTTGTTTAGCAGTGCGCCAGTGGCCTGTCCAGAAAATGCGTCGATTGATGCTCAAAGTCAATACCAGACGTCCCGCATCTATTTTCGCGTATGTGTCTATTCATGTTGCTATATTGAATTCGTTTAAATCACAGAGCTTCTGCACTACACGTGAATATGTACAGCTCCTTTATTCCTGTACTTGTTTCGTACAAACATTTGTACATTATTAAAATAATGACGATCTAACAGATATAGTATTTTCCAAAGATTTTCAACATTTTTACATGTGATCAACATCGATTCGAAAACTAAGAAAACAACTATGCCGTAAATCTAAGATCGACAACGAAAGTCTGAAGAATAACTGTAACATCTATATTGAATTTCAAAAAATAACTGGCTATACCTATTGATATTTTTATCACCTGCTAATATAATAGTAGTGCTTGATTGTGTCAGTATTTGCACCAATTACTTGATTTGTTTAATGGGCAGTTCAGTCTTAATCCTTAATCTTAGTACACACTACGACCCCGTTGCGCAATTTGTCTATGGGCAGTCTGGAGACGGTCTCAAGACGCGATCTATAGATGGTTTATAGACATCCTTCTTTGTCTGGTCTAGCGTCTAAACGATAATGTGCATTTTTCGGACTCATGTCCGTTTTCGCCATCAAAGACATTTTTTTGTGTGGAGTGGACTGGGATATGTCTCGGGGTCCCTCAGAATGTTTTTGTTTTTTTCGGTTAACAGAGCAATGAAGTTTTTTATATTTTAATCTTTAATATTATTAAATTAGTTAATTATTTTTCATGTTTTTTTTTCAAGCTGGCATTGACGAGATAGAGCACAATAGATTTAAGGAGCAGTAATATGATGAATTCTAGAAGTTTCACTGAGATTGAAAAATTGCCAGCTGCAAATATCGTTTGCCCACCCCCCTGAGACGAAGACCTAAATCCGCTCTTGATTCATGCACGTTGATCCATAACTGGAATTTGTAATGATACTCAATGCCATTTTTTTGTAAAATGAAAATTTTACAAACAATGGCGAGATGCTATCGTTTTCCCCAAAGCTGAAGTTCACTACCCGCAAAGTATGGTCATCAAGACATATGCTTAGCTGCCTAAGAACAAATAATTTTGTAGGCAGCCTAGATCAAGTACCCTCAGATATGCATTTATTTTACAAGAGCGCCAAAGGTTCCGCTAAGATGTCAACAGACGCCTTGATGTCCATCGAAGGTGAATTTTTCATAAACGATATCGCCCTTCTGACATCATGAGGAAATATTGGAGACATAAAGAAGGAAAAATATGGCTTAGAATACATCTGAATCAACTTTGGAGAAACGAAGCATGCTCAAGATTCGATCCGAAATTGTCGCAAGAAGGTTAATAAAGTCGGAACAAATTCGAATTAGAAGGTTATTTGTATTTTTAAAATCAAAGTTATTACAACAAACTATTTTTTGGCAAGTTATGACATTGCAGATGAACATATCATATCAAAACCAGAGACAACTAAAGTATACTTATTTTCTACTTTGTCACAACTATTTTGCCGATTTCATCAATTTAGAGTATTCAAGTCTTAAAATTTAAACAACTTCCATCAAAGTTTAGCCTTATCCATAGTTTGGCTATAACTAAATCTATTACCATACTATTTCTATCTTTGGCATATACTTTATTTAATGAAATGAACACTTGTCCACAATAAAAGTTGTTTCTTGGGATCAATAAGATAAAAGATATATATTTTTCAAACGTTTAACCCCTTTTTGGCCGCCACAATTTTGAAAAAAAAGCTATGTATTTTGTTATTTGTGGGAACAATTTGTATTTTGTCGAGGTTCTGGACACCGTATGAAATTTCGAGGCGATCCCGACCGTCTCGTAATCCTAGCGGGCGCCCATGGTTGCTGCTCACGAAATATTTAGGTGCAACGTCTTTTACATGCTGCAAAGTAGTACTTTGATCTGCAAATACACTAACAGCTATTGAAAACTCGCGAGTAGAGAAAATGGTGCCCTGAGACAAAATAACTCGTTTTGAAGTAGCTAGCATACCAGCTGTGTCCTTGCTTTTATCATATGCTCGAATACTTTGTAACCATTTTCCAATGCTGTCCCTGTTAGTATTTCCTTTGCATTTGCTGCCAATCGCGAAAATTTTGCTTGCAGTTCTGGAATCATCTTGACACCTGCGAATACGGAAATACTTACAATTAAAACTTCGTAGCCTTTTTTCGATACAAAAACCTCACAGGAAGTCGTGCTGGGCTTCGTAATCCATATTTCAGCTTATAGACCAATATGTTCACATTTGTGTGCGCCGTGTCGCCCGCAGGAAGCCATTCGTGGCATCCGCAACGTATATAAAATAAGTGTTAAAGCTTGTTGTTTGCTCTCATAATTCATATTAGGTTTATGTTTGAGCCTATAGACCATTCATTCCCAAAGTGGTCTATATCGACCCCTAGGGGTCTATGACAACCTGCAAGGGGTCTACGTCAGCGAAAAAAAATTTGAGGGTCCATGAAATGAATATGGGTGTCCACGATAGTGGATCTCAACACACACACTGATAGTACCTATTTACTTACATCATACTATCTTATAATATCAAAACATATACATTATTTATAAAAGTACCTATAAAGTAAAAAATTTATTATATATGTTAATAAAATTGTAGGATGTTTTTATTCGGTTTGTGGTCGCAATACATTTTGAACTTGTAAAAACCTGAGAGTCGCAGTCTCAGAGCTTCGCTACCTTGCACTGACTTGTTCAATTCGTCACTCTATAAATACGAATGTGAGACAAATACGTTTATTCGTTTCCTGAATCTTGAAAAGGAAAGTGCTAAGAAAATATTTTAAAAAATATAAACAGATATTATATCTCACAAATTATAGTGAGTCAGTGCTATTTTGTTTGAGAGTGCTGGAGAAAAGTACATTATTTTTTATTAAATTTTAGTTTTGTTCTCGTAGTTAGCAAAGATAGATAAATTACGCCAATCATGACTTTAGTTATTAGTAGTTAAATATTCAATCATGCAAAATTACACGAGTACTCCTCAATAGTTTCTTTTTGAAAGTTTTAGCAATCGGTAATATAATTACAGTGCAATCTCCGTAATTCGAGCTAATTGTTGCAAGAAGATGTTCGAATTATGGAATGTTTTCGGAAAAATCAAAAAATATTTTTAATATACAGCTGCTGGATTTTCTGGCTTATTTAAATAATTTAATTTTGCCCACAGATGACTGATGCATGTCCGAATCTAAAAAGAAATGTAGACAGTACAGTGTTGATTATTTGAAATTTGGCTTCATTCCATCATTGCCGGACAAACAATCGCCTATGTGCCTTTTATGCAACAAAGTTTTGGGCAATGACGCTATGAAACCATCTAAACTGCAAGATCATCTGAGAAGATGCCACCCGGATAAAACAGAGAAAGATTTGAAATACTTTCAAACACTCAAAGGTAAATTTCAGAAGAGACCTACACTGGACAGAATGTTCGCTTCGACGTCACAAAGAAGTGATGATGGTTTGCGGGGGTCTTACAATATCTCGTTACTTATAGCAAAATCCGGAAAACCGCATACTATCGGAGAGCAGTTAATTTTTCCAGCCGTTGAAGAGGTTTTAAAAACTGTTTTACACAAACCTGCATCTGATATCATTAAAAGAATTCCCTTAAGCAACAATACTGTTGAAAGACGTATTGGTGAAATGAGTTCTGATATTGAAAGCTTCTTATGTAATTATTTGCAAACGACCCATTTCTCTATACAACTGGACAAGTCAACTTTACCTGATAATGCAGTATTATTATTGGCATATGTTCGTTTTATTATGATTCAAGAAATCTACGAAGAACTGCTCTTCGCAAGAACTTTGATAACCGACACTAAAGGTGTCCATCGACAACATTTAGTTGCTAAAAATTTGAGTATTAGATTGCATGAATCACTTCATTTAGTCATTGATGCAGTAAACCGAATCCGAAGCAACGCGTTGAATACGCGGTTATTTGCGCAGTTGGGTGAAGAAAATGACGAACACTTTCATCAATTACTCCTTCACACTGAAGTACGCTGGCTGTCGAAAGGCTTATGTTTGACAAGATTTTTTACACTTTTTGAGACTATTTTAGAATTTCTGGATACTAAAGATAAAATTTTAAAAGAAAATTCAATGAAGAGGAAAACAGACATTGCCTATTTAACAGATTTGTTTACAAAATTTAATATGGTTAATTTGCAATTACAAGGCGACAGTTTAAATTTGATTAAAACAAAATCCATCTTATCAGCGTTTCTTGCCAGAGTTAAACTAATGAAGCAAAATATTTGACGGGGCGAATTTTCACAGTTCCCCAATTTGTCACAGACAAGCTGCCAGGAAGACGACGTTTCAACTTACGTTCAACATTTAAATGCCCTCTATTCAGATTTTGAATCTAGGTTTGAGGATATTTTGACTATGGTAATACCACCGTGGATAATTAATCCATATGGTGACATAGAAGAAACGAATGTCATAATACAAGAGGAACTGACTGAACTAAGTACAAACGAAGAACTTAAGGTTCAGTTTAAAAACCGATATCAGCAATTCTGGCTGCAAAACAACATACCCGTTACTTATCCCGTATTATGGAATATAGCCAGGAAATTTTTAATTTCCTTTCCATCGTCATACCTAGTGGAAAGGGGGTTCAGCGCTGTTACCGATCTCCTAACGAATAAAAGAAACAGGCTGGACATCATTAGCCGAGGAGATTTAAGATTAACCTTTACAAAATTGACGCCATTTTTTTTTATATTCCCACTACCATGAAGGCCTAAGGCCTAAGCACCCATTGGGTACCCTGGGGCTATGGGGGAGACATGGGAAAGGGGGGACGCCACACGGACTCTGGCGAGGGAACACGTGTGCATGCAACATGCACACATTCTGGCTCCGCCTACGAGAACCGCCGGGTGGTACCTCCACGTTCGACAGTCAGAGACCATCTATCACCTACGGACAATCACAACATCCATAGCCAAGAGAAAAATTTCTCCTGGGACGGGACTCGAACCCGCACAGCGCACGGCGACTGATCAGGAGACCGAAGAGTCTACTACTGCGGCCACCGCTGCTGCCTTGATAATTTATTATTAAAGCATCAGGTTCATCTTTCTCACTAAAAATATTGACTTATTGCTTATGTTATTTTATTTATAGTTTATTTTATGTTTATTGGTGTCTGACCAATAAATGCCCGCATTGGGAATAAGTGCCCGCATTGATTTTCCCCCCCCTTTATAGAAAATATTTTTTTTAAAATTATTCTGAAAATTCAAGGATAGGTAAACACTAAAATTCGTTAATTTTTTGCCTATTTTTAGATAACTTAAACGTATAAGAAGCGGAATTTAATCAAACTAACAGTGAAATTATTGTAGAACATACGTTTATGTTATAATTAATAAACGAACTCGCTTATTGTACTATTTTAAGTAAAAAAGTTTTTTTGCGGGCACTTATTCGCAATGCGGGCACTTATTGGTCAGACACCTGTTTATTTATACAAAATTTTATTTTGAGTAGTTTTAATTTAAATTCAATTAATAAATGTATAAATTAACATATGTTTTTACTTTAAGTTTTTAACACTAAACTTCACAACAGTTAGAAATTTACAGGAAATCAATATCAGGTAAGTAGGGGGTCTACCCAACACGGAAAAACATGGCAACGGGTCTACGACACAAAAAAGTTTGGGGAACTCTGCTATAGACCAATATTTGACATTTGTTTTTGTGATAATTGATACCCAATAATGCAACAGCAGTGTGTTGAGATCTATTTGGCATAATATGGGATTGTTTAGTATAGATGTACTGTGTACTTATAAAGCACAACTAATGAAGCAGGTAGGATCATCATTGCAGTAGTGCATTGAAGATGAAAATACATCGCGTCGCTACGTATATGTAGTTGTACTTCCAATTTTCAGGGTCCTGATATGATAATTATTGTTTTGTAAGGACTGAGTATAATGTTGTCGTAGTTGTGGTTTTGAATAAAGCTAACTATCGTTTTCAGATTCTAATTAAATTTTGGTTTGATCAACTTGAGTCTTGAATTGAATATGGAATTTATCATAATTTACAAAATAGATCCCGAACAAATCACAAATCAAACATAAGAGGTAATCATCAGTCAGTCAGCACATTCGCCATATTTATATATGCTGATTTTTTATGTAATTTATGCCAGTTCAACTATTAAATTATTGTCATCAACTATTTATAATATTGTCTAGTTGTGGTTTTGAATAAAGCTAGCTATCGTTTTCAGATTCTTAATAAGTGTTGGCTTGATCAACGTGAGACTTAGATTGAATATGGAATTTAGCATAATTTGCAAAATAGATGCCGAACAATCCACAAATCAAGCATAAGAGGCATCATTTTCGTATTATATAGTAACTCCCAATTGACAAATCTCGTATTTTGTGTTACATGAAATGATTATAAGAACGTGAATTTTCAATTATACGAACGCTGAAAACCTTGTACTTTTACGAAGGTCATTCTTTTAGTAAGAACAGTTTTGTGATGGAGTCAGAGAAACTTTATTTGTGAACCTAAATTGTATCACAAACAAATATGAACATTTTTTTCATTTTTAGTCATCATAGACAGTTGAACATTTTTCTGCCGCCGTTAAACCAGTTCGTAACGTTTCTTTTAACATTACTTCGACCTTGGTGACTCGTTAGTCGGTCTCTTAAGCTCATATGTTTTCAATAGAACGCGATATGTTTATTGCAATGGTTATTGTTCAGCAAATTATACTGTTCCCTCCAGCGTGCCGCAAGGATCGAATCCATGCCCTTCGCTGGTTTTATTCTCCATAACCCCGATAGCATTTAATATATTTTTGAAAAATGTTTGTTAAATATTTGTAGCGACAGATTTTTTAATATTCCATAAATATATTTCTTATATTTGTATAATTCATATATTTTTGCGATATTTTTTCCAAACGTTTAGAAAATATATAGAGGAAAGATTTTTGAATATCAATTTGATATTTTGATGAAATATCTTATAGATTTCGTAAATAAATATGGATTTTCAAGCATTAATCTGATACAAATTTACAGTGTTTATAGAAAATTCTCCATTGGTTGTTTAAGCAAAATCTGTGGGAATGCTTTTATAAAATTGGGTAATAAAGAAAATTCATTCTAGATATAATGGTTTAATTCGCTAGAAAAATATCATTCAAAAATATTCTAAGCCTCTTCTGTAAATTCACTCCTCTGAAAAAAAAACTTACTAATTATTAAGTATTACTGAATCCATATGGTATACGTATGGTATTTTAGAAATCTTGGTAAAAAGTATCCATGGGCACAACTTGATCCTTTGACTAAACTTTCAAAGAAAATGTTTTTGTAAATAGACAACTTATTGATTTTGACTTTTTTGCAGAAGTAATGGGGCTAATTTAGTCATAACTATTTTGTGATTTTATATTATAATTCAAGGGACAGAAATATAGTATTTTCGGCTGTTAAAATGTCTGATCGTCGCTGTTGTACTTCAAAATTTTGAAATAGTCACAGCTGATTTGGCCTCTACTACGACAAAGCTAATAATGATAATTGAGAGAAAAAAACATTTTTCATGTATCTCGATCAAGTTGCGATTATATGACGTTTCATTGGGATGTTATGAATATGATAATGTTCGTATCCATTTTCAGAACTGTTAAACTTGAAGTTATTTATGGTCTTGTAAATACCTTTATACTCAACTGGCACAAAAATGTTTACTAGTCAGATAAATTATGCTACGTAATTATCGAAAAACTTTTCCCTTTTCCACAAAGAAAATTCAAATAATGTACCACTTGGAGTACACAGGAAGCACGCTATCATAGTGAAACTCACAGGCAAAATGGATGCCGGCAAACGGGTCGGCTCAGGTCGGCTTGCCATGCCCGAGCGGATTACACGCACTTGCTCTTTAGCCGAAAATGTTTAATGAATATTTTCTAAATAATCTAAATAATTTCCATTGATTGAAAAGTAAATATTTAATGAATATTATAAAATAAATATTGTATTTAGAATATTTAAAAGATATTGAATAAATATTTAATAAAAGTATGATATACCAAATATTTATTAAATATTTGTTTAAGATAACAAATATTTAAGTAAGATAAAAATATTACTAAATATTGAATAAATATTTAATGAATATTTCCTGCTATCGGGGAAATAACATTGTCGCTTCATTTAACTGTCACAATCTACTATTTTCCAGAGATCTAAAAGTCTATGAAAAAAAATCAAATTTAGAGAACTGTATTTCTGTTCAGGGGGATCTTGATCGATTATATTCCAACAGTTCAAACTCATCTGATTCCTCTGTGCTTGAGGAGGTTGTTCAGGAAGTTCATGAAAGAGAAAAGCATAAAAATAATTTGATGATATTTGGCTTGCCGGAACCGACAGGTACTGATGGAAAGGAAAGACTGGCTTCTGACCAAGCTGTTGTTAAAGATTTGCTTGGGGCTGTCGATGGTAATTTTACTAATCTGGGCGTTAAGGTTCTGCGCATTGGAAAATTTAGACAAGGCTCGACCAGGCCAGTAAAGGCAATCTTTCACTCAGAGGAGATGGTTCTACTATAATCAAGAAGACTAATATCCTAAAAAACAATGAAAAATATAAAAATACATCGGTTGCTTTTGATAAAACTCCAAAACAGATGGAGCTCTATCGCTACTTAAAGAGCAAACTGAATGAAAGGATCGCGCAAGGTGAAAGTAACCTCAGAATTAAATATTTCAATGGGGTTCCGAAGATTGTTACTTTAAACGCATAACTGAACCCAATAATAGGCCAAATTGTCATGAGAGACTTAAGCTAAGGTGTTCCTACCAGAACGTTCGTGGTCTCAATTCTAAGACGGTGTCATTCTTCAATGCAGTCAGTGACTACGAATTTGATTTAATTTGCTTGACTGAGACGTGGCTGTCTGTGAATGTGAGTGATAGTGAATTATTTCCGGCTGAATACTGTGTGTTCAGGTGTGATCGTGACTTTATTCGATCTGGCCTAGTTTCCGGCGGAGGAGTCCTGATAGCCATAAAACGCGATTTCCATGCAATTAGAATTGACGCTAGTGCTTTGAGTCGAAACTTTCCGTCGATTGATACTGTATGTATTAGGCTTATTATTAACCATGAGCATTTTGTTATCTTTTCTATTTATATTCCGCCTTCAATTAATTTGGACATGTTTAGTCAGTACCTTGAAGCTTTGGAAGTATTTAACAATGCATTCAGTAATTGTAAAATAATTGTTGCTGGTGACTTTAATGTCGCATCATTCAACAGTGACGTTAATGATCAGAAGTCTCAATTAATGAGCAACTTTATTTCGTTTTTAGATTTAACTAACTTTAATAATATTCCAAATATAAATGGTCGAATTCTGGATTTAATTTTAGGAAATATCGAAATAGAAGTCCTCAGAGATAATACACCTTCTGTTAAAGAGGACGTTCATCATCCTGCACTGATCATGGAATTCATTACATCCGGATCTCCAACGAAATTCCCATTTGCTAATTCTCCACGGTTTAACTTTCGCAAAGCTAACTTTCCTGAAATGTACACAGCCTTGCAAGATGTTAATTGGACGGAGGTGATCAGTGCAGTTAATGTTGATGTCGCTTGTACCGCCTTGTATTCAGTTATCAATAACATCTTTGAGGTCCATGTCCCTAAATGTAAAAATAAAATGTTTTCGTATCCCCCATGGTTCACACGTGAAATTATACTTAATATCAAGAAGAAGGACATAGCAAGAAGGAACTGGAAACGTGACGGTACTAAGTTTTCTTATGATCAGTTCAGTAATTTTAGGAAGCTCATTAAGAACCAGATCCGTGTTGCCTACTCCGCTTACGTCCAATCGGCTGAGGATGCCATTGTCAAATTCTGGTCATTTGCCCAGATCAAAAAACAGCAATCTAGAATCCCCCCAGGATGACGCTTAACGGCAATGTCTGCGATACGCCTCAGGATATAGTGGACAGTTTTGCTACCTTCTTTTCAACAGTTTTTATCCCGTCTGGTGTACTAGGGTCATCTCCTCCAACAAATAATTCTACCGATATCATTTCTTTAAAAAATATAAGTGAAGAAAGCGTAATTAGGGCTTCGAAAAGATTAAAGAACAAAATGACGTCTGGATGTGATGGTATTCCAAGTTTTTTCGTTAAAGATTGCATTCATATACTAGCGAAACCGCTGGCTCCCATATTCAACCTAATTCTAAAGTCAGAGACATATCCAAATATCTGGAAGACCTCTAAAATATGTCCTATTCACAAAAGTGGAGATATCTCTGATATTTCCAACTATCGCCAAATAGCAATCCTGTGCAATTTCAGCAAGTTGTTTGAGATCATCGCTTATGAAACAGTTTACTGCTCGGTCAGGGGTGCAGTCTCTATTAATCAGCATGGGTTTATGAGAGGCAGATCTACGGTCACCAACTTGGCTCTAATTACTCAATACATTTCTGAAGTACTGGACGGTCAGGGACAAGTTGATGTCATCTACACAGATATTCAGAAGGCTTTTGATCAAGTTGATCATTATGCACTTCTGGATAAGCTTAAAACAGTGGGTATGTCTGATGCAATGCTGTCGCCCATGAATTCATATTTGAGGGATAGAAGGTTATTTGTCGAATATGGTGGTCATAGGTCGAGTTACTATCGGGCCACGTCTGGGGTACCTCAAGGGTCAAATCTAGGTCCATTATTGTTTTTAATATTTATTAATGACTTGTCTTTTGAACTGAAGTGTTTCCATTTGTTTTTCGCTGATGACCTCAAAATCTGCACGTCAGTCAAGACAGTCGAGGATTGCGTCATGTTGCAAGATGACTTAGCTCTAATTTCGTCATGGTGTTCACGAAACTATCTCAGTCTGAATGTTTCGAAATGTAAAGTTATGACTTATACAAGAAAAGTGAACTATTTAATTTATGATAATTATAACATCAATGGTCAGGTTATAGACAGATGCACCTCTTATAGAGACCTTGGAGTCATATTTGATACCAAGCTAACGTTTACTGAGCACATACTCAATATCTCGTCGGCTGCCACTCGACTACTTGGTTTCTGTATCAGAAACTGGAAGGGTTTCTCCAATGTTGATACATTAATAACTTTATTTTTTACTTTTGTCAGGAGCAAGTTGGAGTATGCAACTCTGATCTGGTCTCCTATATACCAAAATTCTGTCGTGATCCTTGAGGCCATTCAACGTAAAGCTTTAAAGTATTTTCACCTTAAATGCACAGGTTCTTATCCAGAAAGAGGTTGTGACCATAGTGCCCTATTAGAGTCTTTCAATTTGGATTCACTGTCAACAAGACGAAACATATTTGCTTTGTCGTTTTTGTATGGCCTCATTCACAACAAAATTGACTGTCAAAATTTACTTGAAAAAATATGTTTCCGGGTTCCAAGGCTAGGGAGTCGACAACAAATGGCATTCTATTGTCAAGCTGGCCGTACAAATGTTATGACAAAATCGCCAATTAATTTCATGTGCTGCGTCATGAACAGTGTTACTGAATCGTGTGATATTTACAGTGACAGTTGTGCAACGATTATTAACTGTTATAGATCATCCAATCTTATTTAGAATGTGTGATACTATAGATTTAAGTCCAAGAACCATGTCTCTTTAATTGCTATTTTTTTCAGCGTTTCCTGTAATTGGGTTTCACCTGTTGGAAATAAATAAATAAATAAATAAATAAATATTCGATTATTCCAATTATTCCATAAGTAAAATGGGATTTTGGAGACAATAATAGAGACTAAAGATATTGGTGTAAAAATTTCCTGCAGTTTGCACTTTCTTGTTCATGTAGCACGCGCCACTTCCTCTTTAAGTGATTCTAATTCTAGGTTTTATAATGTCGAACTCTTTCAAACGAAGCAGCACTAAAAACACTTTTAATTTCACCAGTGTGACCAGCGGCATAAGGGCCTCTTCTATAAATTGATCCAAAAGGGATTCCCATTCTGGATCCTGAGACTTCTGTAGTCGTTCATTGAAGATTCGGTTCAAAATTAATAATAATCTGTCAACAATACGGCCCATTGGATCCGATGACAATCAGGGTTCGGTTCTTGGACCAGTCCTACTGGCTTTTCATTCATGACGGCCCTTGTCCTAGCAACTGTGAAGTCTATCTCGATGCTGACATGATTACTCTGGTAACCCAGTCGTGTCCCGGGAATCTGGTTCACGAACATATACAAAGTGCGGAGGACGAGGTATTGGAATAAGCGGATCGGTGGCTTCACAAAATGAACCATTCGAAAACTAAGGCTATCTATTGTACTCCAAACATCATGTCCAAATTAATCTTAGAAGAAATTTATAGATCATCCAATCTTATTTAGAATGTGTGATACTATAGATTTAAGTCCAAGAACCATGTCTCTTTAATTGCTATTTTTTTCAGCGTTTCCTGTAATTGGGTTTCACCTGTTGGAAATAAATAAATAAATAAATAAATAAATAAATATTCGATTATTCCAATTATTCCATAAGTAAAATGGGATTTTGGAGACAATAATAGAGACTAAAGATATTGGTGTAAAAATTTCCTGCAGTTTGCACTTTCTTGTTCATGTAGCACGCGCCACTTCCTCTTTAAGTGATTCTAATTCTAGGTTTTATAATGTCGAACTCTTTCAAACGAAGCAGCACTAAAAACACTTTTAATTTCACCAGTGTGACCAGCGGCATAAGAGCCTCTTCTATAAATTGATCCAAAAGGGATTCCCATTCTGGATCCTGAGACTTCTGTAGTCGTTCATTGAAGATTCGGTTCAAAATTAATAATAATCTGTCAACAATACGGCCCATTGGATCCGATGACCCTCAGGGTTCGGTTCTTGGACCAGTCCTACTGGCTTTTCATTCATGACGGCCCTTGTCCTAGCAACTGTGAAGGCTATCTCGATGCTGACATGATTACTCTGGTAACCCAGTCGTGTCCCGGGAATCTGGTTCACGAACATATACAAAGTGCGGAGGACGAGGTATTGGAATAAGCGGATCGGTGGCTTCACAAAATCAACCATTCGAAAACTAAGGCTATCTATTGTACTCCAAACATCAATGTCCAAATTAATCTTAGAAGAAATTTATAAAATAAATAAATATATAAATAAATTTCTTTATACTAGTTAACAATGCCACGTTACGAGGGATGTCTTTTAAGTTTTGCATATAGAACCATAGTAGGCCGCGCGGATCGAACGTCAGTACTGAATCTTAACCTCACCCTTTAGTAAACTTAAATTCAAAGTTTCACAACAGTGAATTTTCAAGTGTCACCAAGTCATTAGAAAAATGGAACTCAACCAAGAACATTTTCGCGTCATAATTTATTACAACTTTCAGAGACAATTATCGCAACAAGAATGCCTTGCTGAGTTACTGTCTGTTTTCGGCGACGAATCGCCACATCAGTCGACAATTTCCCGTTGGTATGGAGAATTCAAAACTGGAAGGGTGAGTTTTAGCGACGATTCCAAGGTGGGTGCACCAAAAACGGCAGTCACCCAGGAAAACGTCGATGCTGTGCGCAAACTCATCATTGAAGATAGTCATGTGACACATTGCGAGATTGAGGCGTCCTTGACGATCTCAAATACCTCAATTCAAAAAATTTTACATGAAGAATTAGGAGTAAGAAAATTAGTGTCTCGTTGGATACCCCACCGGTTGACTGAAGAGCAGAAAGCAGCCAGGGTTAATTGGTGTCAAAAAACACTTGACCGTTTCAATTCCGGAAACTCAAAAAATTTGTACAGCATTGTGAGTGGTGATGAATCATGGATTTACTGTTATGAACCAGAAAATAAACGACCGTCGGCGGTTTGGGTGTTTCAAGGTGAAGAAAAGCCAACAAAAGTCATCCGTTCTCGAAGTGTTTCTAAAAAGATCGTCGCGACATTTGTGTCAAAAGCGGGTCATATTGCAACAATTCCTCTTAATAAGCAAAGATCTGTTACTGCGGGTTGATATACCACCATTTGTTTGCCAAAATTCATCACCGAGCTTCGAAAAATCAACCCCGAAAGAAGAATCATCCTCCACCAAGACAATGCAAGCTCGCAGACAGCCCAAAAAACAAGGCAGTATTTAACTGAAGAAAACGTGTAATTATTGGACCATTCTCCATATATATGTAGTCCCGATCTAAGTCCTAACGATATCTTTACTTTCCCGAAAATTAACAACAGACTCCGTGGTCAAAGGTTCCAGTCACCAGAAGAAGCAGTTGACGCATTAAAAAATTCCGTTTTGGATCTGCCAGCAAACGAGTGGAATAAGTGCTTCGAAAATTGGTTCGAGCGCATGCAGATGTTGTTTTAATCTCTGTAGAGAATACTTCGAAAAACAATAAAGTCATTTAAAACTACCTACCGTGTTGTTTTATTTCCATATGCAAAAACTTAAAAGACATCCCTCGTATCCCTCAAACTGACGCACTTCCTCTTCTTTGCTCTCCCTTCTTCCGATCTTCCTTTCTCCCTGATTTTGTCTGGTATCTAGTCAACCAGACCTGACAGACCTACTGACTTACTATACTTTAGCCAAGAGCAACTCTGACAGACAATGACGAATAGAAAGAAACTTGTTACTATTGAGATCTTTCTGTAGGTCTTTTCACGGATTTTGGTGGATCACAGTAAAACTACATGAATTAATTTCATACATGCAGTCAATCTTTCACAAGCGAGGATTTCTTACCATCAACTTCGTCCTCTTCAGGAACTTCCATGGTATGCGGCATAAATTCCGGAACCTTAAACGATAAATTCTTTTGACTAGATGCGAGTAACTTTGAGAGAATCTGGAAGTGTTTCAAGGAAATCCTAACGTTTGCCAATAAGTTATAACGACTTTTGATCAATGTTTCGTACCCCGCTGTTGCCTTCTCTTGTTCTTTAATTTTTTCTAAGTACTCTTTCTTCTTCTGTGTATATCTAAAATGCACACAGTGTTCATCGCAATCTAAAATTCAGTTTCAAAAATATTGTGCGAAGTGAAGAATGAAGATAAATGTTCAATAGGTTTTCTTCTGTTTCAGATGGTCAACCTGCTTAGGTAATCCTCTATTTAGTGAAATATGTGGCCTCCAACTTCTATTATTTTCTAAGGTATAAAAGTCAATTTGGTCATAACAGTAAAAATTGTTATACAGTAGAAAGTTTTAAACAAACAGCGTGCCCCCGTAGATTTGTGGCCAGTGATTAGGTTACGGTTTTGAAATTTAGGTCTATGGTATGATTGATGGGCTTATGCAAAATCAACTTTATTTTTAATGTTTGATACAATGGATTTGTGAAAAATGTGATATCCATTTAAAAGAATGGCGTTAAGTTGGCTGACTCTGCACTTCCCATGCAACGCCATGATCAGTTCATACCAAATTATCTTCAGCACAAACTTAACCCTTTCGAAATAAGATAGCACCATAGATCTTATATCCTGGATAAAGGACAGTTGTGATGCTTTCTTTAGTTGTCCGAAAGATCATGCCTAGAATATGCTGATGAGTTTCCAAAAAAAGCTGTCCATGGTTGGCTCTCTTGATCGGACAGACAAAAGCAGTATGTTTAAATTGAATCCTCTAAGAAAAAAATAGGTACGAACATGTATAACCGAGAAATTGGATGGATCAAGTTCGTCAAACAGGCCCTTACATAGTACCTTTCATCTTTCAACGCCAGCAGTGGCAATGCGGCACAACGCCAGTCATGCCAGGACACTTATACTAAGTGACATATAAATCCGAACACCCAGTTTAAATGGTTTTATTTTAATGAAATTTTGTATAAGTACTTAATGAAGCATAAGTAAACGATAAAAATTTCAAAATGATTGCACTGCTTTAAAGCCCTTTGACCTTTATTAATGTGTGGATGCACCCTGATGTACTATGCATTCTCCAACACGCCTAGGCATGCTTCTGATCAGGTGGTCAATGTCCTCCTGTGGTATCTCATTCCAGGCAACCACCAACTCCTCTCAAAGTGCTTCTAGAGTCTGAGGAGGACGTTGCAAATTGAGCAATCTCCTACCCATCATATCCCACACGTGCTCAATTGGGGATAAGTCGGGAGATCTTGGTGGCCATGATAACAATGTGACATCATTATGTTGAAAGAAGTCTATTGTGACTCTTGCAACATGTGGTCATTATCTTGTTGGAAAGTTGGATCTGCCAGGGTGTCAAGATAGGGTTAAAAAATGAGGTTCTAGAACTTCGTGGGTATAACGCTGCGCGTTCATGTTACCTCTGATGAAGATTAAAGGTGACCTGGAACCATAAGCTATAGCACCCCAAACCATAACTCCAACAGTATGATGAACATGTCTTTCAACAAAAAACTGTGGATTCCTCCTTTCACCACGTCGCCTTCTAACCCTGGCACGACCATCGTGCATGCCTAAACAAAATCGAGACTCGTCACTAAAGACAATACTGTTCCACTCCTGATCCCAGAGTGACCGTTGTCTGCACCACTCAAGGCGATTACGTCGGTGTTCTCGAGTTAAAAGGAGGACCCAGTGTGGCCGGTATGAAAACAAGCCAAAACTTCTCATTCGTCGGTAAACACTTCGCATGCCAATAGGTCTTTCGTGTTCTGCAAACCTGCAAACCATTCATTTGCAATGGACCTGGTAGTGGAGAAACGGTCCCTTAATGCCAATAATATTAGGCGGCGATCTTCACGGTCTGTTGTTCTACGGCGGCGTCCAGTGCCCCTTGCTCTTTGCGTACGGCCTTCTCGAAGCCATGCCTGACAACACCTAACCACAGTGTCTACACTTCTTTGCACTCTAACTGCAATTGCCCGAAAAGAAAGTCCAGCTTCCCGAAGTCCCACTATACGGCCCCTATCAAACTCACTAAGTTGACGAAATCGTACAGGTCTCCGTACTCTAGGCATCGTAACCGATCGTAAAGGATGTCAAGAACCAAAATCCGCCAACGTTGATTCTTTACTGCGGCTGAAATATTCATTTTTAGAGCGTTAGTGAATTAAAAAAAAGCAGTATAAAAACCGGAATGTCCAACTGATAAGGCTGAAATTTTTTTCACTTTCACGCTCAGACCCGTGAAATAAAACTAATGCATCATCATTAATGGAGATCAATACATCAAAAATTAACTGACCCGTTAGGCAAGTATATGTTGAAAATGGCCACCATGACTCTCCATGCAATAATAAAGATTTTGCTCAAAACGTTGCCGCAAATTTTGCAATATTTGAAGAGTAATTTGAAGGCACTTATTCACGATTCTTTGTCGCAGGTCTTCTAATGATGTTGGCTGAGTAGCATAGATTTTGCTTTTTAAATGACCCCACATAAAGAAATCCAAGGGTGATGAATCTGGCGATCTTGGGGGCCATTCAATGGCACCTCTTCTACCAATCTATCGATCTGGAAACGTCTGATCTAAATATTGTCGAACACGTAATGCGTAATATGGGCACCATCCTGTTAGAACATCAATCTATTCGCAATGTACCGCCGATCATTCTGATTTTCAATTATGGCTGTTAATGCAGGATCTATGGCGTCTTTCAGTAATTCCAAATACATTTCACCGGTCAAATTTTCAGGTAAGAAAAAAGGACCAACTAAATGATCGCCAAAAATACCAGCCCTTAACATTTAATTTTTGTGGCTGCTGTGTATGAACCTCGTGATAAATTCTGGGATTAGAACCGGACCAATATCGGCAGTTATAACGATTTACTACGCCATTTAAGAAAAAGGAACATTCGTCGGAAAAGCAAGTGTTTAGAAAATGTTCATCGTTTATAATTCGTTCACTCATATCTTCACAAAATTGTAATCGCCGATCAAAATCGTCTTCATTAAGTTCTTGTACCAGGTGAATTTTATACGGATGAAAACTACGGGCCTTTAGAATCCGTTGGACAGTACGTCGAATAACACCACACACAGTCTCCAATTTGCGGGTACTTAACGTATGATCTACATAAACATGCCCTAAAACCCCCACTTCTATTGCTTCGTTCCTTATGGGATTTTCAATGTTGCGTTTTTTATTAGCGACTGACCCAGTTTTCCGAAATTTAGCTACAAGTTCTAGAACATATTTTCGATGCACGTTACTGTTCTGATGTCGCTCATTAAATATTTCTGCTGTTCTATCAGCACACTAATTTATGTAATAAAGCGTTACAAGTTATTTTGGCAACAAAATTTGGTCAAATCAATCGCAAACTATGTACTAAACTTCTGTTTAAAATAAGTACGAGATATTTCCTTATCTTTCTTCAAGAAATAACTTTTTGCCACAAAAAACGCTCCAATAGCTATTTTCAACAACAAAATGATAAACAAACCATGGGCGTAGTGAAGAAAAGCATTTACTTATTAAGTAAATTCTTTTAGTCAAATTTCTTCTGAAAGTAGTACAAACTACTATAATCTGATGTACCTATTAAGTCTACTTTAAGCTTTAAATCAATAAATCTTCAAAACTACTGATCTGAAGCTCATATATTTTACATTATTATAAAGAGAATCGAAAGACCTTTAAAATGAGGTATCACTCGATCCCCTTTCCATTTAAGATTTTAGGATTTCTTGCCAAACTTGTGTCCCCCTCGAAAACAAAATCGACGGGTCTGAGCGTTTTTCCAAAAAAAAACTGAGCTGCCAGTAAATGCGTCTGCTTCGTTTTCGATGCGCCACCCTGTATACTATTATGCATGGACTGTGTAGAATCAACAAATTTATCAATATATAGGGTGTTATATTTAAAATAAGCAAGTACATATTATATCATTTTTGCAGTATTGCTGCCATCAATTATACCATAACTTCAAACTTTCATAGTTGCCTAACGTAATCTTTTCGATCAAAAGATCGCTGCAGCAGTATAGTATACTCACTCAGTGGTGGTTTCAATCATAGTATTTTCTAGATCCGATTTTAACGCAGCAGCATGATTTTTCTTTTTCAAAAGCATATCTCTATTGTTCTCACATTTTTTGACTAGCTCGGTAAGCCTTTCTTTTTGATACAGTTGCTCTTTTAAGCTAAAAATGGTGGAAAACCGTAAAAGGGTGATATATCAGTGGTTGCAATCTGAGCAAAATCATATACAAAATCTAGACAATACAAAACGGCTAGGAGTTAAGATATTTAATTTTGTGGCCGGGATTTTTTTTTTCTGATTCTATAAATGCAGAAATGTACATACCATGGATATATAGATTCGATCGTAGGGGTGAAAATAGCGTCTTTCAGATATTTCAAAGTTGCCTCAACATGATAAAGGTCTTCTTGAAACTTAGCGAAACTTGGTGAGTCAGGAAGATTGACGGAACCTAAATTTATGTCGCTCTAAAAATGGCAAAATTAATGAATTTCAAATAAACACGGTGACTTTGACGTTGAGTCATTAATTTTCAGATAATGATTGTAGAAGGAAGATAAACCAAAATATGTGTGTAAAAATAAAAAAAAAAAATAAAAAAAAAAATTTACCTTGTTTTATAAAGTATCACCTCGACAAGTATTTCAGTGCATGTGCCATTTTTTATTTCGTTTGAGCCACGCAACAGACACCACTATCCACTATCGACTGACACTGACTGTATACAACTGAATGAAATAATTGTAAAAACATCGTTCCAAATTCTTTCGCTTTTTTGTTTCCGATGCGATGAACCGATAAGGCGAATTATATCCGTTGTCGCCAAACACGAGCACATAATATTATTATTGAGACAGGGCGGTACTCAAACTTCCAAAGGGCTATAACTTTGTTACTTTAATTTTACCAGAAAAATGGTAAAGGAAAAAACATTTCTTTTGTTCAGATCTACTCACTGTTAAAATAAATGACTCAACTTCGAAGTCACCCTGTATATGAAATTACTAACACATTGTTTGATATACCCAGTGAGAAAGTTCACTTTTTGATTGAAGAAAAAAAATACTAACTTAAGGAAAAGAAAATATTCATTGATATCAAAATATTCGTAAATTCAGCGGTTCCGGAGTGATGTTATTTAATTCTCGTCGAATGTTATCTTGAAACTCCTCCAGTGTTCGTGGATTATTGAAATATTCTTTTGACATTAGATAACCCCACGAAAAATAATCGCATGGCGTGAGGTCGGGTGACCTAGGAGGCCAGTGCATGCCTCCAAACTTCGATATAACTTTTTGAGGGAAAAATGCGTTCACCGATTCTCTGGAAGTATGGCCAGTGGCCCCGTCTGTTGAATCTATGTGTTTCTGTTAAATCGATATTCTGTTCTTACAATAGAAGCAAAAACAGTGTCAATCATGTCCTTGTATCGCTCGGTATTGTCGGTCAATGCATGACCAATTTCATCTTCAAAGAAATACGGCCCAATAATACCGCTAGAGGATATGCAGCTGGTTTGCTTCTTCACATAACCGTCTAAGTGAAAATGGGCCTTTTCACTGAAAACAACATTCTCGAGTCTGCGTTGCGTAGGAAGATTCAACATCCGTTCAGCACAAGATTTCCGTAATACGTAATCACTTTTCTTCAAAGCATGGACTGATTGCATTTTATAAGGATGAAAACTCATTTTTCCTTCATTATGCCACGCAGTGTTGACCTAGGTATTCCCAATACAGCGAAATGCTTCCGTATAGAACGCCGAGGATTTACAATGATCGAATCACTTACTCAACGCACATTTTCTTCGGTTGGTACCAGTGGCGGCTCGTGGCAAAATAAAACAGGTGTTCTGCAAATCCGAACTTACCTATTTTTTATATATCAGTTCGATCCTGCGCTCCTTCTTGGCAGCAAATTTGTCGATCACCTTCCCGTTGAAATTCTCCATGGTCGAAATAAATTCCTTTTCAATGGACAGCATCGACAACGCTGTAAGGCGATCCTGGGTCATAGTATTTCGAAGAAAGGTCTTGATTCTTTTCAATATTGAGAAATTTCGCTCAGCCTCTGATGTTGACGTAGGAGTTGTAACAATAAATTCTAATAGCTTTTTTGTTTCTTTTAGTGTTTCCTCCAAACTATTTTGTATCAAAAATTTTAAAAGAGACAGAGTTCCATGTAAATCTCGGCAATCATTCCGTGCATAAATAACAGACAACTCTGTCTTTAAACGACTTTTTCTAATTCGGGATAAGCCAAGCAGGTACTTTCCAACTTGTCATCAGGAAACTTACCACAGTATTCGCCAAAGTGTTCGGGGAAAAAAGGGGATGCGGCTACCAAATGATCTTTGAATTGAAATCTGTCATTTGCAGAATTCACTATATTGTCCCATACTTCTAATGCGGCAACTCGGTGATCGTGACTGCTATTATTACGTCGTCTCCTTTTGTTGCCTTGGGGTTCAGTGCAAATACTTTTGACTTCCTTTATTATGTCATCAATTTTATTTCTCACATCGACAATACATTTTTCAAGATTATCGATAGCCGTTTTAACTTGCGCTGGCTCGTTTTTCTCTTCTGCAACTGGTTGAACAAGATGTCGATGTGAGGCATGACATGATGAAAAAGTGTCAACCAAAACACGAAAACAGAATCATTTAACATACGGCGAATACCGCAAGCTGCCTTGCAAACGGTTTCATTAGTGAAATTTTCTTCTATTTCTTCCATGCATTTAAGGAGTGATTCTCTGTTCTCAAACACTACATTTATTGTTCGAATATTAAAATTCCAACGAGTTGTTGCTGCTTGGGAAAATTTTTCCCCACAATCCTGTTCAGTACCTCTACACGTTGAGGAGAATTATAAAAAAATCCCGGAATATCTTTCAAATCGTCAAAGAACACCCGAACTTGAGCATTTGCGGAAGCAGCTTGGGACATAATCAGGTTTAACTGAAGCGCATAGCGATGCACATAGTGAGTAAATGGATATCTTTATTTAATTGTTGCCTGTACTCCAGCATTATGTCTGCTCGTTACCGCGACTCCATCATAGCTTTGTGAAATCAGTTTGTTAGGGAAATTTCCTATGAATGGATCTATGACGCTCAAAATATGTCTTGTGAGAGTATCAGCGTCACATTTTTCGGGATTCATATAATTCCGTATCTGAAAATGGTTACCAGTTGGGTTTTCCCCGAAATGTCCGTTGTTTCATCTGCTATTATCGCCAAATACGAGGCTCTGTTAATCTGTTTTATTATTTCTTCATGACAAACTTCAAGCACACAATCCAGCAGATCGTTTTGTATTTCTTTCGAAGTTCCCTTAAATATTGAAGCATTTCTTATGTGTTCGCTTAAGCTTGTATCAAGCTAAGCAGAAAAATTAATCAGTCCACGAAATATTCCCAGGTTTTCTGAGCTCTCGGTTTCATCGTGGCTCCGTAGCGCCAATTCAAATGCTCCGCAAAATTGTATACAATCGATTATTTTTGATAGAACGTACCTGTTTTTTGTAACGGTATCATTATGCTGTTGTATATTTCTCCAATATGCTGAATCTAACTGAGCTCTGATGTTAACAGCCCCCAATAAAGCCAATTCCATCGAATTATGAAGATGTGTTTTAGAGTTTTCATGCTTCTTAATTTTTTCACTCAGGTGCACTGAATCTGTAACACCTACCTCCATCCAAGCTTTGACACCGCCGAAAAGTATGCAAGGAAAGCAGAAAAAGGCATTCTTCCTGTTGCACCCACAAATCCAGTCATTTCTGGTGTAAATTTCCCTGCTGAAACGCCGCATATAGCCCTTGCCTCAACTAACGCCCTGTGTTTCTATAAATATGTCCGGCAGCGGTCTACCTGACACCTTCAGCTCAATTTTTTCTTCAAATGTGTATTTCCAGAATCGTTTCACGCTGATTGTCTTGCACTACCCTTCTACACAGCCACAGTCATTCAGTGAGTCACTAGTCACTCAGCGTATGACTAATAAAAAGTTTTTCGCATTCAAATTTTAAGCCACGTCACGCAACAAGACCAATATGCCAATACCGCCGAGGACCGAGCACCGACCGACCAATCAGATATCGTACTTTGCATTAGACCTGTACTGATACGTATAAATTGCAGCACATGCTTATGCTTAAATCGCGCATTTGATTTTGTAGAGAGAGACAAAAGCAAGCGCGTGCGGCTTGTGTCGAAGTAGTGCACAGACCCTTTTCAAGTGGCCCATGAATAATGTTACTCTGCGGTCGCGACGAAAATGACAAGTACACAATTGGTCGATTATGCTTTCTCAGTACAGTACAGTACTTGCGGGGGCAGGCCGGTATTGTTTCTATTTGTGTGATAACATGGAAAATAAATAATGATCAAATTACTACTGTTTTTTTCTGTTAAGACAATAGTTTTGGCAGTTCTGCAGCTCTTCAGAAGTTAAGGGCGAGCCGCTCTTGGTTGATACAGTAAGTGTGGGGCCAGGAATGGGTTAACTGAGAGTAGAGCCTGTTTGACGGAACCTCTTAATCCAGTTTTCAATAGGTTCTTACTTGGGCCATCTCATGGTCGGCGAATTTTGTATCGTGTACAAAATTTCCAAAGGGCCACTGCGTATGAATCACCACTCTTAAGGCCTCGATAGCAAAAGCACGTTGCGCTTCGGTTCAACGTTCCATTCTGACCATTTAACCCGCCCGCCGATGCGTAAATCAAGACCTATCCCCACTTCCTCGCGTATATGGTTGCCGACTAATTCAAATTTGAAATGTGAACTTTCCCACAAGAACGCCCTACTTCAATAGTATTAAAACTCGAACCTAGATAATTTTAGAAATCCTAAAAGTTTCCCTTCCAGCTTGCAAGATTTTAACGTTCGAAATTTCAATTTCTTTCGCAACATTTTCCAAAATTTGAGGTAGGTGTCTATACTTAATTTTCAGATTTAGAAAAGTTCCCACATTTTTTAACTGCAATATTTCAGAATGATCTATACTTTCAAAATCTCAAAAAGTTTCAGGTGATTCTAAACTTTCCAAAATATAACCACTAGTCAACTTACGTCTCGTCTTAGCAAAAACTTCAAATTCTCCGCAAACTGTTCCACATTATGCCGAACTTCCGCTAAATCTCTCTTCCGCACCACCATGTCTTGCTTTACAACTTTTTCGAGAAAGCGGAAATCTTGCCTTCTGTCATCTAGATATTCAGCGCCCAACTGTCCTAGTTTTGTTGCATTTATCATACATTTTCCTTGGTTCAAACCATCATTACGTATTGATACCAATATAGCGTCAAAGTAAAGAGCATCCTATGAAATAACCAAAAACAAATCACTTAGTGGAATTAACTACAGTTTTAGTCAGAGTCACTGCCTGTGCTGGCCTTATACTATCCACATAACTGGACAGGCAGCAACAAACCAGAGTTGTCAGTATAGCCGAAAAAGGAGGAGCAACGGTTCTCATGCAATTCTAACAGATCATCAACACTAAGGAAACAAAAAAAAAATATTTAAAAATTGCAATATAGGAGATTCATTCCAGCCTCCGGAAATACCCTTACGTTCTTTGTGCGATCACTGACAAAAGGATCCTTTTTCATTCTAAGTCAAATATCTCCGCGCCGAATGATCGCGTCGAGATTTTAAAAACAGAATATTGAAGCTGAATAAACGAGCTAATTGATCCATGTGATAGTGTAATCATATTACCAAATTTTCCCGGAATAATTGTAAAGTCTGGTTTTATTGGTGCAAGTTGTTCAAGTGGGTATTTAAAATATGGACGCATAAAATGGGTACACCAATTTTTGTGGGAAAACTGTTTATTTGACAACAAGGAATGAGAAAACATGTTTTTGGGATTCAATCGAAAGTGTTGAGAAGAACGAAAAAACTTTTCATATAAGATTTTTTGGTATTTATTAGATCTACAAAATAAGACTACACGTAAAAAGAGCCCACTAATAGCAAAAATTTTATGACCGAAAAACGAGGTAAAATGTAGGTTTTGGCACTTGTTGGTAATGCGACGATAATTTCACGCAACTCCTTGAAATTGTTCAAATCTGTATGATTCATACTTCTAAATAACAACAACAAAATTGGATTATATTGGTCAAGCAGTTTTTTGAGAATTTCTAATATTAAATCTCTAAATACCTGTTTTCCGGCCATCACTATTAGTTTATTGAGCAATATACTGGGTTCGTTCAAAGAGCATTTAATAGCAAAATACACGTGTTTACCTTGCCGATATGAATCACAAACTATTCCAAAATATAAATGTTTTTATGAGAAAAACAAAGCTTACATTTTTTTCTTTCAAACAAATTCAAACATTTAGTATTTGTGAGTAATTGAGCAAATGTGCTGCGATATTCGAAAAACATACGTTGCTATACACATTTTAAAACAAAGCAGATGTGTCTATACCTTTTGTTGCGAATTGGTTACAATACGAAATGTTTGAATTTTTTTAGAAGAAAAAACGTAATCCCTCGTTTTTGGCATAAAAATAACATTTATCTCCCGGAATGATTTGCGATTCATATCGGCAAGGTAAACTAGTATATTTTGCTATAAAATGCCCTTTGAACTAACCATGCATATTGCTTAATAAACTAGTAGTGATGGGAAACAGGTGTTTTAGGATAAACAATTACAAATTCTCAAAAACTACTTGACCAATCTACTCCAATTTTGTTGTGGTTATTTAGAAGTACGATTCCTACGAATTTGAAGTATTTCAAGTATCTGCGAGAAACCATCGTCGCATTACTAACAAGTGCCAAAACCTGCAGTTTGCCTCGGTTTTCGGCCATAACTTTTTTGCTATTAGTCGGATCTTCTTACGTTTGGTCTCATTTTGTAGGCCTCATAAATTCCTAAAAAATTTATATGAAGAGTTTTTTCGTTTCTGCCAACACTTTCGATTGAATCTAAAAAAACACGTTTCCTCATTTTTTGTTGTCGAATAAAAAGTTTTCACACAAAAACTAGTGTACCCATTTTATGCGTTCATGCTTTCAACACCCCTTCAATAACTTATAATTATTTTGCAAACCAGTGCTATTTTAGTCTAATATGATTAGACTATGATGGCCTAACAGAAAAAATGGTTTCAATTCTGTGGACTAAAAAGGAGGCAAAAGTTTCGAAAAAAATGTTTCTTGCCCTATCTGTTAGAATTTCATGAGAACCATTGCTCCTTCTTTCTGGCCTAAGAAAACCTAAAACTAGAATCACGAAGCTTCAAAATGCTTTTTTGAGCTCTAGATACGACCATTTTTTACCGAAACACAGTGAGTCAAAGATCACATCGAATTTTGGATTTTTCTTGCTCCTTTATTTATTTTGCGTAGTGTATGATGTTTGGGATGCACTTTTGTATTAAGTTACCATTCCAATATAAAAAGTATCGTTTCCTAACGCATTCTACTTGAAAATATCCAACCAAATGCTATACGCCCGCTTCAGAAAAATTATTCGAGATAAAATGAGCAGCTCTTTCTCTATTTTCTACGGTGAGATTCAAATTTGGCTGACGTCATAATGTGTACGAGAGAGAAATGCGATATGTATGTAAAGAGATAGAAGCACACCGTTGCGTAACAAACCTAGCACGAGGTCACGGAAGCCATCGGCATACTCTTTCTAACATACATATCACACACCTGTCGCGCTTCTCTCTCGTACACAGTACGAAAGTTTTAAAAGTAGTTCCTTCCGGGGACAGATGAAAGAAAAAACGAATTTTCCCAAAATCGTTTTAGTTTTTTCCTGACTTCATTTGTAGTGGAATTTAAAAATAAATTGCTCGTTAACATTGCCACTTTTTCTCCTCTAGGCATAATCAAAATCTCGATATGACGTTTTGTCTATTATCCTCCAGCATTAGCTTATTTTTTCTTATGGACGCCATACTGGGTTCCAAAAACGTGTAACGTGTCATACATTGACTTTGCTAGGCCTTAGGTATTTCAAAAAATCAGAATTTCCCAGGTAGACCTTGAAATTGTCATGTATTTTGATTTTTCCTGAATTTGATTGAGGTGTGATTTCGAAATAAATTGCATGTTGTTAGCAAATATTATTCCAACTACTTGATCAACTGCATGCCAAAATTCGTGAGAATAGTTACTGGCTTGAAAAGAAGAATTATTATTTTTCTCTGGACAACCCACCTGCTCACAAAGGTTTGTCAGCAATGGGAAATCTGCGACATTTGAGGTATGATTTGCTAAGCATAAGAGAATTTTGATCGTTTCAAATCAAAATTCTCTTGATTTGAAACGATTTATAGGGATATTTTGTTGAGTAAATTGATGATATATGGTATATAATACCAGGAATTGTTTTATAATTGCTTTAACAATTATTTATCTAAAAGGATGTAAGTTGCAAGAGTTAATCTCACTATTCATCAAAAATTGAAAATATCTTAGGTGTTCCTGGGACCACTTCTTTTTATTTTACACGTTAACGATTTACCTGCCATAGTCAAAAATGCTAAATTCATATTTTCGTCGATGACACTTTGCTTTATATAAGTACTCAAAATATTAAAACTGGCATCTCTTATATAAATTAAGACGTGTACCCTGTTTCAAAATAGTAAGCATCTAACAAACGCAATTTAAATACAAGACGAAAGCATGTTAATTGGAAAAAACTAATGTACTAATGTTCAACTACATATTGATGGTGAAGATATTGAATTCATAGAAAATTTTAAATACCTTGGGGTTTTTGTTGACTCCCAATTAAATTTTGACATTCATTATGAGAATATTATAAACAAGAGTAGTAGTAAGGTGGAATATTTATCAAGTATCTGGATGTCTGAGTTCATATGGTAGACAAATTACCTATAATACTATCATTCTCCCAAATTTCTTGTACTGTTCGACTATTCTATATTTAGCTAATAATTTCATTTCTGCAATTTTAACAAAACAAGTGCATGAGGATAATGCTGAATAAAGATAGATATACTCTAATTAGACAAATACTTAGCAAACTAAAATAGCTTAATGTTAAAAATGTAATCAAATATCGTTATAAAGTAAAAAGTAATGCATTTCCAGCATGTCTAACTGAATTAACATTATCAAATGCCGAAAAACGCTACCGTATGATATATGCTACAAATCTGCATTCCATCAAGGGTTCATTCAATATATTGAATTAAATACAGAGATAAGAGACCAGAATACTTTGACAAAATTCAAAGTAAAATTGAGTAATCACTTGTTAAATCTACAATTACAGTTGCCCAGCATGTGCATCATATGGTTTGATTTTACTAATTCTAGGTTTGTTTGGTAAAGATTTATTCAGCATGATTGCTACAATTACATTCTTCTAAAAAACTAAACAATTACATAATATACAGATATTCAGAAAAAAAAACAAAATTTGCATCTCTAAGAATATTCATTGTTCATGAAATATTCCTTTAATTTTCTTTAAAATGTCTTTAAATTACAAGTAGACTATATATCATTATTTAGTTTATTAAATTAAAGTAATCCTTTCTGAAATATTGATTTGCTAGTTATATTACTATTGCAATTTTGTAAATGAAAATCTATATTTCCTCTTGTATAATAATTGTGGTAATGATTGTTCAATTCTATGTAGTGTTCTAAATGTTCTGGAAAACGACGATTTTTTATTTTAAATATAAAAATAAGAACCAAATATATGAATTTTTTTATATTCAACCACTGCAATTCTTGTAACATAGATTTTCTTTTGGTGTACTTATTTTTATTCAATATTATTCTCATAGCTTTATTTTGCAAGATTTGTAATTTTGAGAATAAGGTACCTGTAGCAAATAACATTTAAAAGTAAAGATTTCTGCAGTTCTACAATCTCACTGTCGGCTTCTTCTTGCGGAATATCTTGTTAATTCGAACGTTCAAAAGTTATTTGCTGTTGTCAGGTTTTGAATGTTTTCAATTTTGTAAATTGTATATTTAAGGTTAGATGTGCGTAATAAGGCCATATTATATGGTTCCCAGAAGAATAAAGAAGAGAATTGGGACTGTTTCATATGCGATAATGATGAAATACGTGACATGCGTCTGTGTGTAATATGCTTAAGATATGTCCATGAGGAATGTGTAGGCTTGTGTAGAGGCGATAAGGTATCATTTGTTTGTCATCAATGCGAAGGCAAAAACAAGTTGATTTTTTTACTTAAGATCTATCTGAATTTAAGAATTATTTATTGTGGTTATTTAGAAATATAACTTCGTTCTTTCAGTCTTGATTTATATTTTGAGCTTGGCTTTATTAAAAACCAGATCATGGTCTTATTCGGATCCCTGGGTTCGTAATAAGGCCAACGGTAATGTTTCAAAAAATATATATTTTTTATATGAAAAGAAAAGTTCTTGGAGCTCTTCGATAAAACTTATTCACTGAAAATACCTAGAATGATACCTTTAAAATTTCATGATCGTATCGCAAATATTTATGAAGTTACTGCTATCCAAACGTTAACGTGGCCTTATCTGGTACAGGTACCTTACAGCTTCATTGGCAGTGAACAAGATAGTTGAACAATATAGTAAATGCGGTAGAATAATTGTATTATAAACTATTTTCTTGGAAGAGGTACCAAGACTATGAGAAGCCCTATAAAAGTAATTTGTTTTTTTTTGTCAATGTTTGAAATAATGTATTCATAGTGCTAAGTAAATCTTTCTATCACTACTAGAAAAATGAAATCATTTTTTAAATGAAAATCGCAGACATTGATTGTCAGACCAACAACTTATCTTCGCGATACCCCCGTTAATGGAACCGCACCTGCCCGGGCACATGTGTCGCATCATATAGATATTGGAACGCTTGTTGCTCAACATACACCTGACCGAATTACTTCGATATCTACACTACTGTACAAATATCTGGTACATGTGCCGGCACATGACGCGGTATTTACTGTAATGGGAACATACCTTTATTGATACAATCATTTATACGATCTTTCTCGTGTTGGCGATATATGTGTATTTTTAGATTCAGATTTTGTAGATTTCATACCTTTTTCATGATCGCTATCATCTCTTTATAAGCGTTTCTTATGTATATAGCAGCTTCTTTCCTCAATATGGCAGCATTTACTTTTCCAGTTATCAAATGTGCCGTCCTTTCGCAAGGTAACATTGTCAACCAACTTTGACCATCATACTTCAATCTGTCTTCATACAAAGCATACCTCAACTAAAATATGAGTAAATTACAAATCAAACATAGATCGAAATAACAAAATTACGTCTATACTATACAAGGTTTTTTTCAGAGAAAATTTATAAAGTAGAAAGTTCACTCAAAAATTACAAAAAAAAAGTCATAACTAGAAAACTTGATAGCTCCATCTTTTACCCAACTCTAAATTGTATTGGTTTTTTACCTTTAGATCGACTAGCCTATCTGATTTTAATTTCATTCGGTATTTTAAAATATCGCGTGTCTTCCTTTTGGTAAAGTTGACTTGGTGTACCATATCGATGACTTTCTGAAATCATTATAAAGATCCATTAATAAACTGACAGAGGCGGACTACTCTTATTTACAGGCGGCTCTCAAAGTAAGGAGAGCTCTCTGTCTATTTCCAATGACTAGACCTTTTCCACACTGATGATTGCTAAAAACCATGAAACAACGTTATAGTCACAGAGGCGGTAAGCATACAGATCCTAGCCAGCATTTGCTTATCCAACTTTTGCATAATACACGTCGAAGCTAATAACATGATGGACACTGAGTGACGAGACGCTTATGTAGTTTTCTACCACGTCGTAGGGGTCAGCCTTCATGACATTCAGATCCTCCTTAGAGATACGCCACTGCAATGCATAGGAGACGAATAAGTATCTGATACATAGTAATAAGGTGGCATATATACTCTTGCAAGGATAGGGTCTAAAAAAGATTCTTGGAATCCGAAACAACTCTAGGATTAGAGGAAAATAAAAAATGACGTCAAGCAGATTGTGTCTGTAATTCCCACGCAATACTGTCATCACTTAGATTATGTTCGGTTTTTTGAAAAAAAAATATGTGTTACGAGATATGTACGAGTGGTGCTGGCTAATCTGGACACCATGTGGGTCTTACTGAATAAACTTCATCTGTAGCGCGATTTAAACTTACCAGCGCCTCAGTGCAAGATATGTATGACTGTTATAGTGTCTAAAATATGCGTCGGTATTATCACCGGAATCAGAAAATTTTTGATGTAGAATGTCTTTCGCTGATTCTAAAAAGACATTGATAACTTTCCTCCAGCTTCTAGCCCCAATTCATAACCCACAAAAAAAAATTAAAATATATAAGAGTTTGGGTGATCTCTATTTTATCATGTATTGCCCGCAGATCCACCGCTACTGATTTTCAAAACCTGTAGAGCTCTCTCGGCCTTAGCATATTGATAACCTTGTATCAAAATTTTATTAAAATCCGAGCAGTATTTTCCAACTTATAGAGGAATTGAGGCTTAGCAGACATATAGATAGACAGATAGATGGGCACATGGGCAGTACCCAGGACCATCTAAGAATTATAAGCAATAGAAGTGCAAGAAACTTTTTAAGTGGCCTATGCACCAGTAACTGTGGTCATATGATTGCGTCTTACCTTCTCAATAATTTATTCAACATTAAATCCTGCATCATCTGCAGTTTTGTAGATAATTCGTTAGTATAAATAATTACCTGTGGCTGTGAGTTCTGGAAAGCCAGTTGCATTTCTCTATGCGCAGCCAAAGTGTTCCTAAGTTTCTGCTTATCTCCTTGTACTGCATTTTCCAAATCTTTCCGGTTTTGTTCGATTTCCCTCTGGATGCCTTTAAGTTCTTTGGTTTGTTTCTTTTGAGAGATCAAAGTATCGACCTCGATAATTTTTTTATCTCTTGCTACAGTCAATATCATAGGTTTAGTTCCAGCTTATTATGTAACATATACAGGGTGTACCAAGGAAAACGAAAAGTAATTTTATGAGCAAACTGGAAAATATATCAAAAATCTGCTTTCGTGGCAACCTTGATATGTTACTAGTGCATATTTTAAAATTATTTTAATATACAAAGGGTGTTCCATAACAATACGCCATAGCAAACATATATTTTTTTAAAAAAGGACACCCTATAAATATAGCAGTTTAATATCATACTCGTATAAGAAATGGTTTTGATTGTCAATCGATTAGATATTTAGTGACATATCTGGTAAAAATGCCCAACTTTGACGACTCGCAGCTGCGTCAAGAAGCGTCCAAGCTCTCATCCGGTTTTGACGGATGGCCGAGTTCTTCAAAAAAACCATTCAGTCAGGTTATTCGGTGTCCAGATCACCGAGAACTTGATTTGGCACGAGCTCATTTAGTCAATAGCGACATCAGCTGCTGGGAAAAAGCTAGTCTAGTTGTTTAGAACTAAGGAGTACTTTTCTCCACATGACCTCCTCACTCTGTACAAGGCCCAGATAAGGCCTAGCCTCGAGTATTGCTCACATGTTTGGGGTGCTGCCGCCCCGACTACATTTCCATGCTCGATGCTGTACAGAGGAGGGCTGGTCGATGACTCTTCTCTAAAGAACAGTCTCGTGACCCTTTCGCACGGCAGTTCAAAATTTGGATTAACAAACTTTCTTTAAGCTTCTCGTAGCAGCCGCGATCCACTAGCATTTAGGCTTCTGCCTGCGCGGCTGCTTCGGTATAAAAAAGTATCCAAATCAGGTGCCGCGCGGTAAAAAAATCGCATTTAAAAACAGAAATGGATACATTTGTAGAACAATAATATTTATACGAGGGATGTCTTTTAAGTTTTGCATATGGAAATAAAACAACACGGTATGCAGTTTTAAATGACTGTTGTTTTTCGAAGTAATCTCCTCGAAGATTAATACACATCTGCATGCGATCGAGCCAATTTTCGAAGCACTTATTCCACTTGTTTGCTAGCAGATCCAAAACGGCATTTTTGAATGCGTCAACTGCTTCTTCTGGTGACTGGAACCTTTGACCACGCAGTCTGTTTTTAATTTTCGGGAAAGTAAAGAAATCGTTAGGGCTTAGATCCGGACTATATGGAGGATGGTCCAATAATTCTACGTTTTCTTCCGTTAAATACTGCCTTGTTTTTTGGGCTGTGTGCGAGCTTGCATTGTCTTGGTGGAGGATGATTCTTCTTCCGGGGTTGATTTTTCGAAGCTCGGTGATGACTTTGGGCAAACAAATGGTGGTATACCAATCCGCAGTAACAGTTCTTTGCTCAGAGGAATTGTTCAAATATGGTTCATAACAGTAAATCCACGATTCATCACTACTAACAATGCTGTACACATTTTTTGAGTTTCCGGAATTGAAACGGTCAAGCGTTTTTTGACACCAATTAACCCTGGCTGCTTTCTGCTTTTCAGTCAACAGGTGGGGTATCCAACAAGAAACTAATTTTCTTACTCCTAATTCTTCATGTAAAATTTTTTGAATTGAGGTCTTTGAGATCTCCAAGGACACCTCAATCTCGCGATATGTCACATGTCTATCTTCAATGATGAGTTTGCGCACAGCATCGACGTTTTCCTGGGTGACTGCCGTTTTTGGTGCACCCACCCTGGGATCATCGCTAAGACTCACCCGTCCACGTTTCAATTTTCCATACCAACGGGAAATTGTCGACTGATGTGGCGCTTCGTTGCCGAAAACAGACAGTAACTCAGCAAGGCATTCTTGTTGTGATAATTGTCTCTGAAAGTTGTAATAAATTATGGCGCGAAAATGTTCTCGGTTGAGTTCCATTTTTCTAATGACTTGGTGACACTTAAAAATTCACTGTAGTGAGAACACTGCACGTATTGTTGTGAAACTTTGAATTTAAGTTTACTAAAGAGTGAGGTTAAGATTCAGTACTGACGTTCGATCCGCGCGGCCTACTATGTTTCTATATGCAAAACTTAAAAGACATCCCTCGTATTTATACATTTGATGTTAATTTTCTATGAGCGCCTTCGAGATCGTATTGGTACCCCGCGAGTGTCGGAACGTCGTCCTCAATGTTTCCATCAAAGCTACGCAAGATTGTTTATATAGTACAAGAGGCCGTCTGAGTGGATACAGTAGAAGACCTAAAGGAGGTGTCAAATATTGTAAGTTCAGTAAGAAGTAAACTAAATCGAGTTTTTAAATCAAACAGAGACAACTTCAAGAACTATTTACAAGCAAAGCGTGCAAGGGCAGTACTTGAAATTCCTTACCAAGTAAATAGCGAGTCTTTTTATGTAATCTCTGTTTACTCCAAATTAGCTGAGTTATTTCAAACGTAGCAATTTCTAAAAGCGAAGTCCCAACTTCTCAGGACACTCTGTATATCTATAACGTGGTTTTCTGGATGAATCGGATTCGTCGATTTCGAATCCGATGACTGTTTATAAAAAATCAAATTGGGACTCATATTTGAACCAGCGTCTAAGATTTCCTGAGTTTCAACCACTTGTACCAGCGGGATCAGAAAATAAAAATATTGTCCTACAAGCTCCCATAATTTTGAGATTCTATTTATACGTTTTATATTTCAAACTAGGACTTGCGGGGGCCACCAAGTGACCCGTTTTCTGTTTACGACATTGAAGTACTTACTGTAGAGGTTTATCAGCCCCTTATATTGAGTTATTTTGTCCTTTGTAGTCCATTTCGTTGATGTCATGCCATGCAGTTTGACCTTATTGGCCGATAGCATATTTGTGCTGATCATTTTGAACGGCTTTTATAAAACATGCGATTCGCAAAAAAAAATATTCAGGTAAAGATCAGTTGAAATATACAAAATTTCAGTTAGACGTTAATCAACACCGCAACGCATTGGACAGTGACAAAAATACCAATGAATTGTCATATTTATTATACTGAATGATCAGTTTAACTAAACCAATTAAAAATCTGCAGGCTGATTAAAAAACAATGGCAATATGCCATCCGATGGCATCGAGTACCCCCGTTCAAGCTGTTGTTAAATAAAATTCCAAATTAATTTCACTGGTCTATTTATGTTAATCTGCTTAACGGCATCGACCCCTCCCGCTCGTGATGTTTGTGAAATAAACTTGCAAAAATAATTTCACTGGACTAAACAGTTTTGAATTTTTGTGAATCAATATTATTTTCATTATTATTTCTGTTAACCCGCCCGACAGCATCGACCCTTCGAGGTGTTTACCAAGCAGACTTGCGAATTTAATTTCACTGGATTATTTCCATTAGTCTGCTCGATGACATCGACCGCTCCCATTCTAGCTATTTGTCAAACTTGCAAAGTTAATTTTACTGGATAATTTACGTCTCTACCGCCACTCAACCCCCTCCCGTTTCTATGATCCTGGTGGAAAATTAAACTACTACGTATTTGACGGTTTTCTCATGAAAGTCTTATCGGTTGTGCAGCTTTCAGGTACTTAAAATTCTGTATCAGGATCGCAGAAATGACTAGATGTATTTGCAGAGATAGTCTGAATCTGCTATCAGGGGCGATACCTTCTCGCGTTTCTAATATCCTGATAACAAATTTTAGCTACTACTCGTACCTTTTGGTGATTTTGTCAACGAAATCTGGTCGGATGTACAGTTTTCAGCTAGGTACTTGTAATTCCGTATCAAGGTATCAGAAACAACGAGAGGTATTTGCATTTCACTGCTAGGCGCAAAATGCCTTTAAGGCACCTCCTCGCATTTCTGAAATGTAACAAATTCGGTAACCATTATCGAACGATTTTGTCATAAAAGTTTGGTCGAATATTTGTACTGCATCGGAATTGCAGAAATGATGAGAGGTATTTGCAAAGAAAGTGTGAATCTCCCGACATTCTACAATAGTAATAAGAAGCAGAACACCGTTCGAGACCTCCTGGCGTTTCTGTTATCCTTTTAGAAAATTTCGGATACTACATTTTTGTGGATTTATCAGAATCGCAGATGCGACAAAAAGTATTTGCAATGAGTTTGAATCTCACGCCACTCCACTGTAGGGTGGTATTTAGCTACTTGGAAGCCTGTATCAAGATCGCAGCAAATTTCCATTATTACCTTTTGACGATATTATCATGAAAATCTGGTCATCTGTGCAGTTCTCAGTTACTTGAAATTCTGTATCACAGAAGTGACAAGAGGCATTTGCAGGGAAAGTTTGAGTGTCCCGCCAGTCTGCTCTCAGCAACAGAATGCCTTTCAATACCTCCTTGTGTTTATATGGCCCTGGTACAAAATTTTAACTCCTACTTTTTGGGGATTTTGTCATGAAAATCTGGTGGGATGTGGAATTTTCAGCTACTTGCAATTCCATATCAGGAAACGAAGAGAAGTATTTGCATTCCAGTATGAGGTGCAGAATGCCTTCAAGATACCTCCTCGCGTTTCTGAGATCCTGGTAATTTGGTAACCATTTTTGGACGATTTTTTCATGACCGTTTGGCCAGATTAGCAGTATTTAGCTACTTGAAGCACTGCATTCGAATCGCAGAAATTTAAAACATTTAAAACCCTATATCAGGATCGCAGAAGCGACTAGACGTATTTACAAGGAAAGTTTGACTCTTCCGACATTCTGCTATTAGGAGCAGAACGCCTTTTGACACCTTCTAGTGTTTCTATGATCTGATAGAAAATTTTAGCGACTATGTAATTTTTGGCGAGTTTATCAGATGTGCAGTTCTCAGTTACTTGAAACTGTGTATCAGAATCGCAAAACCGACGTAAGACATTCTACTCTATTCTACTCGTGCTCCTGAAAGCAAAATGTCTTTCGATAGCTCGTCGCGTTTCTGTCTCCATGGTCGAAAATTTTGACGAATTTGTCATAAAAATCTCGTAGGATGTGCACTTTTCAGCCAGCTGAAATCGTATATCAGAATCGCAGAAGCGACGAGAAGTATTTGCAATCAAAGTTTGAATGACTGACTACAATATATCCAAAAAATTTTGAATGTACCGCCATATTACTATGATAAACAGAATACCTTTCAATGCCTCCTCGCGTCTCTGTGACCCTGGTAGCAAATTTCAATCATTACCTACTGACGGCTGTGCAGTTCTCAGTTACTTGAAATGCTGTTTAAGGATTACAGAACCGACGAGTTTGAATAAAAATTTCTGCTAAATATTCACTTTTCAGCCATTTAAAACCCGATATCAGGATAGCAGAAAAGACGAGAAGTATTTGCAATTAAAGTTTTAATCTCACGCCGTTCTACTGTTAGGCCTTTCGATACTTCTTAGCATTTCTGTGAATTTTAGTTAATACTCGATTTTGCCGTGAGAATGTTATCGAATGTGCAGCTTTTAGCTACTTGGAATCCTGTATCAGGATCGCAGGAACGGCTAGAGGTAAATACCTTTGCAAATGCAAAGAACGTTTGAATCCTCCGTCATTTTACTATCAGAAGAAGAATGCCTTCCCATACCCACTCGCGTTTCTGCGATCCTAGCAGTAAATTCTACTACTACTACAACTTTTAGATAATTTTATCCTGATAATCATTTTGGATGGACAGTTTTCAGCTACTTGAAATTCTGTGTCATGAACAACAAGACGTATTTGCTGAGCCTGAATTAACTATCAGGAGCAGTATGTCTTTCAATATGTCCTTGCGTTTCTGGACATGGGAATCTGGTCGGCTGTGCAGTTCTGTTACTTCAGATTCTGTATCAGGATCACAGAAATGAGGAGAGGCATTTTCATGGCAAGTATGAGTCTCCCGCCAGTCGATCAGGACCAAAATGCCTTTCAATACCTCCTCGCGTTTCTGTAATCCTGATACCAAATTTTAAGAATTACTTTTTTATGATTTTATCATGAAAATCTTGTCGGATGTGCATGTTTAATTTTTAACGCCATTTCATCAGAGGGACGATGTATTTGATACCTGCTCCGTTTCTGTGAACCTGGTAGCAAATTTTAACGTCTTCCTTCCTTGACAAGGAATTTTCAGAATATAAATTGGAAAGCAAAATCAGGATGTAATGAAAAACCTTTTAAAATATATCACTTTAATGCACAAAAATAAAAACTCAAAACTAATATTAACTACAAAAGTAGCATTATAAGTGAAGAACATATAAGAGATTATAACTTGCAAATATTGCAATTATATAAAATAAAACGGAATTTAAAAAACTAAAAAAAGTATATAAAGCAAATCGACCCACGATTATGCTATTGGCTTCGCTCTGTTTGCAGTCATTTTCTCGAGAATTTTCTCCATTTTTTTAGCTACTTTCTCGACCTGTGAACGCATTCCTTCCATGTCCATTTTCCTTACGGCAGTCATTGTAGAGGTTAAATTCAGCACAATTGATTCTACGATACAATCCTGAAAAAAAAATGAAAATCAAGTGGATATTAAAGGTTATGTTTAACAAAAAAAAATTATCCAAGCGAATTACAAATTTTTGACCCCCGACAACTTCTGCATCATATATCAGCTCATACTTTTCAACGATAATTTCATTTTCTATGTCCAACATTTTATATTCCACCAAATTTAAAGCATATACAATCAGAAAAACGTACCAAAACTGAATTAAAGTCGCGGATACTAACTCACCCAACACTATTTGTACCTACACTCATCAAAATCAAAAGTATGTACATCTGACCGAAACAAATTTCGATGTAAGTTCAAATATTTCAAGTTTGATTTATTATATATAATGTCCAAGTACAAAAGCTCATACGTTTTTTTTTTGTATTTCCCGTTTATTGGACATCTCATACTTCAATCAATAAACATTATCCAAATTCCAATATTTATTCTCCATTATATAAAAAATATCACACAAAAAAACATACCGGGTGTTTCAAATTTGACCCTCATCATTGGGATCCCGAAAACGGTCAGAGATAGGAATTGGCTTAAATGGAGCGAAGTTGCGTATTTAGATAACTAACAAGTGCCGCTTAGACCGTTTTGAAATGCAAAGTGCATCCGGAGAGAGACGGAAAAACCGAATTTTCCCAAAATCGTTCTAATTACTTCCTGACTTTATTTGTAATTAAAAGTGCTCATTAACATTGCCACTTCTCCTCTACAAGATGGGATAATCAGAAATTCAATATGACGTTTCGTCTCACATCAACTTTATTTTTTCTAATAATCGCCGTATTGCATTTTTGCATTTTGTTTGTTACCTAAGTACGCAACTTTGCCCTCATTTAAGCGACTTTGTATCTCATACGTTACCGAGATCCCCATGGTGAGGGTCGAATTTGAAACATCCGGTATATAACATCAGATTAATAAATAAAAGAGCCACAGAACGTAAAGCTTTGAACGGGAATAAAAAATAGATGTTATAATGGCGCGAAAACAGTAGGTTTTGATAAAAGTTTTATTTCGGACCACCATTGTCAATACAATTTTTGAAATCACAATGTTGCGATAAGTTATCTTCAGGCGAACTGAAGATGATTGAAGATCAATCGAAAAGTTGTGCTCTCAAAAAATGTATAGACAATGGAAGTCCAAAATAAAACTTTTGACACATCTACATTGTCTACAAATTTTAAACAACAGGTTTTAATAATTCTGCCGCTTGCGGCTATACATTTAATACTCTCTCAATGCAAAGTTTCCATATCCAAATAATGTTGCGGCCTATTTTTCTTCTTTTCCTTCCTATTTTCCTCACCTTAGGATCTATCCCCTCGTCCTCATCCAAAATGCAGTCGCTCAGCTTGCTGCACACCCTGACAACATCCGAAGTGGCTTTCTTGCATTTCTCCCAACCCTGTTTTCTGGAGTATCCCTTAAGCGCCCTTTGCAGCCTCTGCGCCCTCAGATGCATCCCGTTTGGCGTTGCGGGGGCCACGCTGGCGTACAATTCCCATACGTCTCCTGACTGAGGCTGCTGAAGAACAACTCGGCCTATAAGCTCCCTGGTTTTTTGCAGAAAGCGACGGCTAGGTTGACCTTCACCGTCGTTAAGGTCGTTGCAAACGTTGTATACCAAAATGTTCAGAGTCTAAAAAAAAATTCGAAATTATATCAATCAACGAAAAAAAGCGTCATAAAAAAATATTTGAAACTAGGGTCAAATATAATAATAGCATACTAACATAATGATATAGGGAAGATCTAAGCACAAAGACTTCTGTCGCAAAGACGCATAATACGACTGATGTTTACAACCGAGAACTATTCAAACAAAGAAAAATGTTAATGGTTATGCCCATTTAAATCTTAAAATTTGTAACATTTGCCAAATTATACTCGAATCTTTGTCTGTTTATTGATTTATTCAACATGATTGCTACAATTACATTCTTTTTAAAAAACTACAACAATTACATAGCATACAAATATTCAGAAAAACAAAATTTGCATCTCTAAGAATTTTCACTATAGATGAAATGTTCTTTTAATTTTCCTTTAAACATCTTCGAATTACATTCTCAAATATTGATTTGCTAGTTATGTTACTATTGCAATTTTGTAAGTGGAACTCTATATTTCCTCCTGTATAATAATTGTAGCAATAATAATTATTCTATGTAATGTTCTAAATAATCTAATCATATTAGCAAATTTTCCCGAAATAATTGTCTGGTTTTATTGATGGGTATACCAATTTTTGTGGAAAAACTTATTTGACAACAAACAAAACATGTTTTTGGGATTCAATAAAAAGTGTTGGCAAGAACGAAAAAACTCTTCAAATAAGATTTTTAGACATTCATGAGACCTACAGAATGAGACCACAGGTAAAAAGATCCCACTAATGGTAAAAAAGTTATGGCCGAAAATTTCACACCGCTGCTTCAAATTCCTTACATCCAAAGGCTTCTTAGTTCTAAATAACGACAAGAAAATTGGCGTCGATTGATCAAGTAGTTTTTGAGAATTTCTAATTGATTATCCCAAAATACCTGTCTTCTGGCCATCATTCTTAGTTTATTGGGCAATATAAAAGGTTCGTTCAAAGGGCATTTTATAGCAAAATACACGAGATTACCTTGGCCACATGAATCACAAACCATTCCGAAAGATAATTGTTATTTTTTGCGAAAAACGAAGGCTTGCGTTTTTTTTTTCTTCTAAACAAATTCAAACATTTCGTATTTGTAAGTAATTGAACAGTTTCGCTACGATATTCGAAAAACATTCGCCATGCTCCAAACCATGGTTAGCCAATAATAAGAATTTCTCTCAAATTATACTGTAAACATTCATTCAGAATTGATTTGGGAGACTCTTACTAGGATTTCTACTAAATTTCAATTCTGATGTATCTTTACTCAGATTGTTGATGTTTATTGTCCTAAATTGATTCATTGATGAATTATGAGTTACTTGCAATGAACATAAGAGTCAAAAACTAACCTCGACGTTTGAATAGTTAGGCTTGAGATCCAACAGCATATGATACGCTCTGAGTACGTCCGAGAAGTGCGAAACATCGCAGCTGACCATCATCAAGTTCTCCCACACTTTCCAGTTGTCAAAGTTGCAGCGAATAGCTTCCAACAGCGCCTGGTGGGCGCTCCGTTTGTTGCCCAGGTGGATGTAAGCCTGCGCCAGGTTGTTCCAGGCTTCGAAGCCGTCAGGCTCCAAGGTGGTGTAGCGACGATAGGCAGTGGCAGCCTTCTGCCAGTTCTCAACTTGAGATGCGGCGAAACCTAGGCGGAACCACACATTGGCCTAAAGGAGCAAAATTGATGTTAGAAAATAAAATAGTTTACTTATTCTCAGGCCCCACATAGAAATATGTCTTAAGGTCGCATGCCCCTTTTTTCTACTGCTTGTTCTTTTCACCTGATTATTTCAGGGTGTGTATGGAGATGACTAAAAAACAATTTTATCAATTTGTGCATTTTCTCTTCAATCGTAACTTGTTTACAAATATAAGTACAACTCTAAAACTGAATCTATGCCAAAATTCCACTTTTATAGTAGAATGGAACGGGTGATTAATCTTATTTTTATATTTTTTTTCTCTTCGAAAATCTTTGATTTTCTCAAAACCTCATTTTGCCGCAAATTGAGGTTGGCAAGCAAGGACTTTTTGAAGAGAAAGTGATAAGAAAAAAGTAATCACCCGCCTAATTCTCTCATAAAAGTGGAATATTCACATACAATTTTACACCTAAATGAGGTGGTAATAAATGATTTTTTGAGTCGAATATGAAAATGAGAACTGAACGACACAATTTTTCACATTCAACCACTGCAATTCTTTCAACATAGACTGAATCTAAGCATATTTGTTTTTATTCAAAATGATTCGCATAGCTTTATTTTGTAGAATATGTAATTTTGAAAATATGTTTGCATTTGCTGTGAACAAAATAAAAAATGCGGAAGAATTATGGTGTTACACAGTTTTTTTTTTCTGGAAAACATACTCATATTATATAGGGTGATTCTAATTGGGTTTCCACATTAAAAGTATTTAAAAAAAAGAAGAAATTGAAAATTATAAAAAAGTATGCATTTGTCCTTTCAGGGCAGTTCATTACAATTATGCGTGAAAGATGATATCAAGTAAATGACCGCCGCGGCTCATGTGGCATGACGTAATCCGTTTCGAGAAATTTTCGGGTTATTCTTGTAGACTTTGCTCTTGAAATACCCCCAAAGAAAATAATGTATGAGTGTAACTTCAAATCTTTTGTTAAAATCCGCTGTGTAGTGGAATAAGTAAGGTCCTGTTGCTGCGATCGATGACGAATCGAGCTTCTTGGATTTTCGGCCACACTTTCGACAACAATAGCAATATTATGTTCCGACCGACCTCTACGAGCACGCCTAGGGGTTTTGGTATTAGCGACGGATCCAGTTTGCTCGAATTTTTGCACCAAATTCCAAACTGTCCTCTCGCAAGGCCGATTTTGTGCCCCAAAAAATTCACGTAAAGCACGAAATGTATTCTTCCTTGATCGGCCGTTTTCATTATAGACTTGGATAGTTTTAACACGTTGTTCGGTCGCCTTCATAACTGTTTTGTTAATATTTTAACGTTAGAAATGGCACGTTGTCGCTGACAAATTCAGTGGCGTTTCACAAAAAAATTATTTGTAATGTGGAAACTAAATTTGAATCACCCATTAGAATTATCATTTTTTTATACTCTTGAAAGAGTGGTTACTATCCATATATACCCAGATATCATCTTTAGAAGAATATCAAATAAAGCGATTTTTCAAGACAATTGTTTGAGAATGAATTTGTTATACTCGAAAGTATAACATTTACTACACTACACTACTACCAGATGCCAAGACCGTGAAATACTCAGACTTTTCCCACAACCACATGGACACGAGAAAGTAAAAAAAATCTTTGCGGTAACTTTCGCACCAAAAATACTCCTGACCTTTCCACAGCTGCCCATGATTTAGTACGTTTGGTGAATTAACATATTTTATGAAAACACCTCGAGCCATGTTTGTCCCACGACTGTAGCTTTGCGGTATGACACCACAACCGGTAATGCTATTTTTTTATTTCCAGTTGCGACCAATCACAATAAAATTGAAGTATATGGATGTCTGGTCGTCTTACTTACGAGGTCTGTAAATTAAGTCAAGAGATTGATTTTTATTTTTTTATTCAAATATAATTACGATTTTATATTGTCACCCTCCAAATAACATCCTTCTGAACCACGCTCCACTGGAGACGGTTCCTCCACTCCGCATAGCAGTGCTGGAACTCCAATACTGGAATAGCCTTCAGCTGGTCGGTTACAGCCGTTTGTATGTTTTCGACTACCTCACCCTTGAGGTGATTTTTCAACTTCGGGAAAACAAAAAAGTAACAAGGACTCAAGTCAGGCGATTATGGACGCTGAGGAGCCACAAACATGTTTTTACTGGTCAAAAACTTGTTTACTGACATTGCTGTGTGACGAGGAGCATTATCGTGATGAAACGCCTAGTTGTTGTTGATCTGATGAAGGGTGGTATGAGCCAAATGTAACTCTTCCCCGATCATTCTGACTGTCAACCGACGAGCTGAACGCACAAGATCCCAGAATCTGTCGATATATTCATCGATTCTTGAGGATGAAGGCCTTCCGCTTCTTGGTTCGTCTTCAATCTTCCTCTCCTGAAAATGCCTTAAACCGAAAAACCTGGGCTCTTGACAAAACACTATGTCCGTAGACCTGCTGAAGTTCAGCAAGAGTTTCGGTTGCACTGTGCCGAAGTCTGAAGCAAAACCTGACAGCACACTGTTGCTCGAAACTGGTGTCACTTATTTTTAGAACACAGCGGGTTAAACTGTAAAAAAAAATCGCTACGGTCCCAATAACTCGAGCGATTTCAAACTTGTACTGAAGGCGGATCACATGTTCCCTTGTCTCGGCTATAAGCCCGGCGCCTCCAGTGTTAACAGATCGAACGCTACGTTGCCATCTCATTACTTAATTTACAAACCTCGTATATGCGGGAAGTAATATATCATACTACAAAAATAACAGGAACAGTACTCTATCTACTACTATTACTACTACTACTTACTACATGGTCGTGACAAGTGGACAAAAAAAATGAAAAACAATATGAGGGATGCTTACAGAATAGATCTCAGAATACTTCGTTAACGAAGAATGAGGACCGCGCTGAAATAAAACAAAAAACTAATAATGATAAAATGTATAATCCCTCAGAAAAAGAAATGAGTTTAAAATATGATATGAAGTATTTCTAGTTTAATTGGTTGCCAAGCTTTGGTAAACTTAAAAATAAAACATGACTGTAAATATTATTATTGACTATTGACTATAAATATTATTATTGAGAGTGTGAAAGTCAAAATCTCTTTCTAGAATTTTTCAACCTGTAAAATAATGCTTTATGTAACTCTGCATGCTTGATATCTACTGCGTAGTTAGCTCACGTCTAAATGCTGAAAAAAACGATCTCGTTTAAGGGCCTCTTACAACTACAATTTAGCTTAAGCTCATAAAAAAATAGCAAAATATTTGGGTATCACTAAATGCCAAAATCAGATGAGAAAAAACAGTGTGCATGGATCTAAAAACAAAAAAGCCCAAAGTACCTGAAGTGGATTGATGCTGACAGACTTTTCAAAATGTGGTATGCACTCTTCATATTGCCTCTTGTTGAAAAAGTAGTTGCCCCAATGCCTTTGAGCTCTGTGGCTTCTGCGTTTGGACAATTCCCAAGCCTTTTCATAGCAAGACACATCATCTGTTGCATCTCCTAGTAAACACCATAACTTAACTGTTGGTTTCACTTCTAGCTGTTCTTTTATCACATTAGCTGCTTTATCCTTCATTTTTAACAAGTTGTAACATACAATCACCTAAAAATATCAACATATTTACTTAAATACTATACCTATAACCATTGATTAGCTTATTCTATCAAAATGACCAGAAGATACCCAACTTATGCTTACAACTATATATAGTGCATTCTGCTATAACTTGAGCCCCCTTGCCCCTCGTATCTTTTCTGTATGAATTATTAGGAAAATAGTTATATATGAAAGTTCTAGGGTCTAATATAAGGTTTTTTATGTAATATCTTTTTAAGCCACAGATAAAGTTTCATTTAATTTTAGTAGTAATTACAAACAAGATTGGTCTCTCTATGAAAAGGTGATGTTAAAGGATAATAAATTTTCTTTAAAAATACAGTACAGTTCCGCTAATCCGAACATCCGGTTGATCCGAACGGCTCCGCGGCGAAAATTTTATTATTTTAAGGACGAAAATCGGTAAATATTTCAATATAAAACAGTGTAAATCTTAGTTCAAAACATTTCTTTATTTAATATTTACGCACTGTACATCAAGTTATGGTACAAATTTTAAAATGGAATAAACCACAAAACAGAACACTAATGTTTAGTATGAAAAATTTTCAATGACCGAGCTAATCCGTTACTCCCGTCAATCCGAACAATCACGTAATCCGAACAGGGGTCGGTCCAATATTGTTCGGATTATCGGGACTGTACCATAATAGTCTATTCTTTATTACTTCAAATAAAAATACTAGGATCGTACTTTGTTGTGACAATGAAGATTGTGTGTGAATGTTCACATATGGTTGGGCAACGTCTTGCTAGAACTAAATTTTTCTAGGCATACCTCTTCCCACAGTTTGATCTTCAAAAATACATCCAACGCATTCTTGACTAAACCAATATCCAAAAGTATATCTCCATACTGAGCTTCCACTTTCCAAACAGGTACCAAACCTGTAGCAAATGCATCCTGGACTCTGTACAAAAAGTGTGGACTATCTCTCTTCATACTATTGATGATTTCTTCACACTGGCTGAAGCATCTTTCAATTGTCCTCCTATTATCACTTTCCATTTTACATCTCTGCAGACAGGCTACCACTCTTACTGAGTAAGTATTTTCCTGGTTGAGAATTAAATCTAGAAAAGGTTGTAGTTCTTCAAAATGGACCTCTGTCATTGGTTTGGCAATCAACATCTCTTGGATGATTGTTATGAACAGCTTTTGCTCTAGATTACTTAAAACTGGTGGCTCATCTTTTTCACCCTAGAAACATAGTACTGTACTTAAAAAACCGCATTGTAAAAAATGGCGGTAAGTAGTTGAACTCTGCACTTCCTCAACACTGTCATCAGTTCATAGAGCATTATGTTCAGCACAAGTTAGCCCCCCAAACAAAAGCTGTCTACGGACATGTATAAAGAAAAATTAAATGGATCAAGTCAGTCAAACAGGCTTATTCAGTTAATTTTCAGGATTTGGCCTCCCTGTGAAAATTTGCTACCCTCCACTTTCTTTGGAGACATGAAATATTTCTCTACCAAGTTTCAATGGCAAATGTATGGGTAAATATGTGATGAGTGAAATAAGTCTAATATCTGCGTAGATTTACCTCAATTTTCGAAAACAAAAAAAATTCTGGGTATGATCAAGCGAAGTTAGAGTGATTTTCATTTTTTATTTCCTACACCACAAGAAGAGGAATTATTGTATTCGCAAAAAAATTCCAAGATGAGATGTTTTTTGGATGACATGCACATCACGAAAAACCATGTCACTCATTTCTGTCTGTCCGCTAATCCTTGACTCATCTATAACTTAGGAAGTGCCGTTCGGATTTTGATGAAATTTCCACCATGCCAAAGAAGAAAAAGTTTTGTAATTATAAAAAATCGGAACAGTGGCGCCGGAGCAAACCTCGTTTTTTATTGACGTTTCGAAGAGGCCTGATCATTTTTGATAAATTTTTAGTAACAATGTTTCAGAGATCATGTCCAGTCATTGTTTGGAGGGGTTAAATACTTTAGGTTGCAAGCTGTATGCGGTATTATGAAGAAGCTGCTGATCCCGCCAATATTATGCACCTGTTAGATACAATGATTCATACATGTTTTCTCTACATCTGCCATGGAAACAGAAATATGATAGATTTATTTTATATATATATATATATATATATATACAGGGTTATCCAAATTAAGTGTCCACCATTAGTAACTTTGTTATTAGTGAAAATACAAAGTTGTTTGAATTAGCAAACTAGTAGCATTTTTAACGCTGGTAAAAATGAGAAATAAAAAAAAACAATTGAGAGTCGTTATTTTGATTTTTTTCAGTAAAATAACATTTTTTTAAATGGAAACCCCTGTATATTATATTTTTTTCTGTTAAAGCATCAAATTTTAAACAAAAAAGCTTACAATAACTTTTCTCCTAGGTTACAAATTGTTGAAGTTATGGCCTCCAATCTGAAACAATTAAATTGTATCGACAAACTTTATTTTCAACATCAACTTATAATCTTACAAAATACAATAACACTTTTTTTTAAAGAAGATGCTCGAAAACACCACCTTGTTCTTCAATACATTTTTGGGCACGTTTTTCAACTGCTCGAACTGTCTTAAGTATGGTCCTACCATCTATCTGGGTTATCTTTTCCCTAACTGCAGTCTTTAACGCGTCAAGGTTATCGTACCTTCGCTTGTAAATTTGGTTCTTTAAGTAACCCCACAAGAAGTAATCAAGTGGGTTTAGATCTGGTGATCTGGGAGGCCACTGTATTGGGCCATTTGTTCCTATCCACTGATCATTAAAAGTAGTACTTAGAAAATGATAAGTACCTCTGGAGTTGTGGGCAGGTGCGCCATCTTGCTGAAAATGCAGATGATGTCTACTTATAAGACCCAATTCGTCTAAGAAATTAGTCTGAATTTCTGACATAAATTCCACATATCTTTCACCAGTTAGGGTTCCCTCATAAAAGAACGGGCCAACAATTTTTGAACCAATTATACCGCACCAAACGTTGAAACTGAAACGGACTTGTGGGCCTCTTGGATGTACTAACAAAAGATTTTCTCTTGACCAATAATTGTGTTTTTTTCTATTAAACATTCCAGAATTTGAAAAATTTGATTCATCTGTCCATAAAAGGTAACGAAAGTTATTTACATTTTGGCGACAGAAGCTAAGATACCAATGGCAAAAAACAAGTCTTCTCTCTGGATCCCCTGCCAAAAGCGTTTGAACTGGTCGGTACTTATAGGGAATAAATTTGTATTTTTTTAAAATCCTTTGAACAGTACCATAACTGAAATTAGAGTCCTTGAGAATATCTGCTATTGAATTCTCACGATAAGCTTCAAAATATCCAATAACTGCAAATTCCGTGGCCTCGCTTATTATGAATTCTTTTTTTGCCCTTGTTTTAGCAAAAACATTTTCGTTGCCCCTAAATTTTCGATAAAGTCTCAGAAAATATCGTTCATACGGTTGAATGCGAGCGGGATATAATTCACTGTAGTATTCTCTTGCTCTCAAGGAGGATTTTCTGCTTTTAAATAGCATTCTAACATATCACACTTTTCTTCATGGGAGAACATTTTTCTTTAAATTAATGACACAATAAAGCTTATAAACAAGTATTTACACTAATGTTTGACATTATTTGATTTTATCATTGTTTTCCAAAGCCTTCTAGTTGCGAGTATGTCCAGTTTAACAATTTGTCGCTTATCTTAATGCTGTCAAATCGCGAACGCCATGTTGTTTTCATAGCCGTCTTAATATTATAATACTGCAAATAATTAAAAATATTTATCGTTATTTTGACTTTATTTTTGACTTTAGCGGAAAAGTCATTATGAACTTTTTTGTTTAAAATTTGATGCTTTAACAGAAAAAAATATAATATACAGGGGTTTCCATTTAAAAAAATGTTATTTTACTGAAAAAAATCAAAATAACGACTCTCAATTGTTTTTTTTTTATTTCTCATTTTTACCAGCGTTAAAAATGCTACTAGTTTGCTAATTCAAACAACTTTGTATTTTCACTAATAACAAAGTTACTAATGGTGGACACTTAATTTGGATAACCCTGTATATATATATATATGGATAGATCAAAGATTCATCATACCTGAGTGAACCTACCTAGTCATGATTCGATTCCGCCTTTTGGAACGACTTGACTCATCCCTTTTCTTTAACACGTTCGCTGCCTACTCAGATTGGATTAAATTTTCCCATTAGCCAAATACTTTTTTCGCCAATCAGACTAATATTGGTATATGTCATCATTTTTAGTTATTTTAATTGGTATCGAAAATAATAAAGGTGTATATTGGTAGAGAAAAAAAATTGCCCCCGATCGGAGACGGCGGCATTGAAACCAGGATTATTCGTATCACTGGCCGATGACTCCGACCGGAGCCGTCGGCACATGGCGAAGATCACCGATTGGCTCCGATCGGAGTCATCGGCAGCGAACGTGTTAAAGCCTCCAACGAAGGCGTACGAAGTACAGAGTCAATCTACTAGATGCCATTTTTTTAAGTTTTTTGCCTCAAACTCCGCCGCCATTGGACCAATTTAAAAAAACAAAGCTTTTTCGTCCTTGTATGGAAATTTCATAAAAATCCGAGTGGTACTTTGCAAGTCAAAATTGAGGGAAGATGGACAAATATGGCAGTAATTTAGGATCGTATCATCAGTCGTTCAAACAATTGTAGGACGCCTTTATGGCCTCGTTGATTTTCACAGTTTTCTACTGTTCCGCGTCAGCGTTCTATTTTGAGGTTATGTTACAAATATCTAGTTGCAACAAACTGTTCATGCTTCTGGTTTATATCATCTGTTGTATCATCCTCAAATTTTCTACAAGTCAAAAAGAAAACATAGCCACACAATAGGAGAGCGCTAGATTCTGACATGTAACAGAAGAAATCTAGATACACCCCAGCCTTTGTGAAGGAGAGAAAAGACTGAAAATCAAGGAGGCTATTAAGTTGTCCTACAATTGTAGGAACGATTGACAATACGGCCCTAAGACATCAGAATTAAACATTCTTAATGCCTGAATGACTTTCTTATTTGTGCAATGACCCCCAATTTTGACATCAGATTCATATTTAGTGTGCAAAAGTATATGGGGTTTAAACCCAAAGTGGTACGCTGGCTCTGCACGACGATAGTACGTCCATCTCTCGTGTATGGTTCCCTGGTGTGGTGGCCTTGCATTGGAACTGAGACTACTAAGGCCGAACTCTCCGCGGAGAAGCGTGAGTATCCAACGAGGGAGGAGTGGCACGCCGGTTGCCGAAGGTGGGTGGGCAAGTCTGGTACACGAACGGCTCGGTCACCGAAGAGGGCTCTGGCGCCGGGGTCTCGAGACCTAGAACTAGGCTATCTCTAACTTACTATTTTCCAGGCGGAAATCGTTACGATTCTGGCTTGTGTATCCCTCATTTTGGAAGGGGGCGGGCCTAGGAGAAGAATAACAATCTTCTCCCTAAGCCAGGCTGCATTGATGGCGCTAAGTAAGAGTTATGAGGAAAATGTAGTCGTGGATTGCCAGACAACACTCTCAGAAATGGAGAAGTATCTTCAGACATGTGGTGAGGTATGGGAACTCATTGTAGGACCCTGCACTAAGGATGGACGTTCCTGCTTATCTCTGGATAGGGCCAACCTAAAGTTGCTGGTGGGACTGTTGTCTGGCCATAAGTTAAGGCGCCAACTGCACGTGATGCGGGTGGCTGAGGATCCCTTGTGTGAGAGCTGTGTTACTATAGGCAGACTATACTGGGGCCATTACTTTGGACCCTCAGGAGGTCAAGGAGCTTGGACTCAGGGCCATATTCAACTTCCATAGAAAGGCGAGGCTTGAGGTCTAAGGAATGTAAAGGTGCATAAGGGCCAGTTTTAGCGGCCGCCTATGCACTGTCTACTTATGGTGGCCGGAATGGCTCGAAGTTCATGATATGTTCATTCATTCTTAGATGATCCTGACAAGTGTACTCATGAAATTATAGAATAAAACACTAATAAGAATCTGGGCTACCTAGTGTTTAACAACTTCAGAGGAATTGATGTTTTAAAAACCAGTTTCATTTCAGTAATTATCCAAAAATCAACATTAACTTTATACAAATGACAATATTGGAACTCTTAGAATAAATCTGGTAATCATACCTTAAACTCAATAGTGTTCAGCCTCACTTCATCATTTAGAGGCACATTTGCAGGGAGGTTTCTTGTTGCCCCATCAGGGGTATTTGTTGTTACCTCTTCTTTCTCTTTGGTGACTTTGATGGACAGTTGAGCAATATAATTTAATTGATACCTAAAAAAATAAAATTAAATAAATTTCAAACAATAAAATTATACTTTTAAGCATAACATTAACATTGTTACAGCAAAGTAACATTAGAAAGCCTTTGAAGCAAAAATTATCAACATTTTACTACTATTTTATGCTTGCAAGAATTACAAACAGAAAGCATCAAAAAGACGATCAAATCTCTATAACTTCCATAAATCTTATATACTTAAAATATAAATATAAACACCTATGGCCTGAAAGAATAATCAACTTTCTGAAGGCATTTCTAAAAATTTCAAACAAATCATATACATTTATCAAAAAAATATATATAAATAAATATGTGTGTATGTTGTTTTATTTTCTCTAATGTTTTCTTTTTTTACCTGTTATCAGAACTAACTTAAATATTAGAAATCCTCTACTTGCTGGTAGTTGGTAGGTTTACTAACTTATGACAGTTTTCAAAAAGTTTACATACACAGTTGTAATCTTGGCAACCATATTAGCATGTCAAAAACAGCAAACATAGAGACTGTATCCTGGGACAGCAATGCAGGATCATATTAAAAGAAAAGTTTTGTTAACTGTTTATTTTTCTGTACTCCATATGTATTTTTGACAAATATGAGTTGATTAAAATATTTCAATATGCGTGGATATAATTTATTTCGCTCAATGTTATAATTATATGACATTTGAAATTTCTATTCTACCATCCCAAATTGTTGAATACAGTTTTGACTGAAACTAACCAACCACATGCTGTGTGAAACTAGCAAATAACTAGCCCACTACTAGCATCTGTCCAAGTAGGCACCTTTTTGATAATGGTTATAATTTCTTATGAGCAGCACTGTTGTTGGTAAAAAGTTATCAGTATATGTGACCACTACCAAAAATGCCAGTTTAGTTATCATGAACATTTTTGGATAAACTGTCTATATAATGACGTTGCTAATATTACATATCAAACTTACTTTGTTCTTTTCCCTAAGATCCCTACAAAGTCATATTTAACAGCAAGCAATTCCTTGGCAGACTTTATATGCTCCTTAGATTTGGTTATATGCCTCAGCTGAAGATACAATTGTGTAAACTCTAAATATAGTGAAGCCTTTACTTTATCTGGTAACTCTGACACACCTGAGAACTGTTTGTATATAGCATCAGCATTTGTTAGCAATGAAGGACTGAGTTCTTCTAACACTTGTTGATGTATAAGTAATGATCTCCAATACCACCAGAGGTTTACAAGAGGATGCACATCCACAATTTCAAATACTATTTTTGCAGTGAAAAGTAACACAGGATGGACACAGTTTACATTAACTTCCTCATTGCCCACAGCCAGAAGCTTAATGAAACCTGCGACATCAAACTTTTCATTCAAGTAATTCTGGACGTCTTTGTGTAGTTCTGGGCCTGTAAAGTTACACTGTACAAACTTCACCAGACAAGAGATTCCGAATTTGAATATTCTGACAAATTCTTTTTGCTCGAAAGTCTCCAAGCGCGCAGTTATTTGAATAGGGGTGAAGTTGGTGTCTTTGAAGATTTTCCAGATTTCGTCTGAAGTTATATATTCATCCATATTCCATGGCCATGTTATTTTCTCTTCTGGCGGGTCTTCTTTTGGCGCGTCGTCGTTGTATAGAAGGAATTCTTGCAATAAGTATAATGTATCACTCATACTTAACACGGTTTACTGATACGTTTCTCATAAATTTTCTATATGAAACCACAATCTGCCTTTTAATACTATTACAAACTTGGAAAAATAGGAATAAAGGTAGTGAAACCCACGCACCCACGTAATGCACGTGTGTATAATTGACATTGACACGCAGCTGGCACTTGACAAATGACAACACTCTCAATTTTGACGTACAGGTATAGAGATGAGGCAAAAAATGGAGCCATTTGTTTCGGTTACATCAAAGAATTCAGACTAGGTAGAAAAAAACCATACAAGGATTTGTTGTCTCCTAATTCTCATAGTCTGTAGTGGGAATAAAAGTGCACTTGACGTGAGTTAATTTTCTGACAGTTCTGTCATTAAGTTCGCAGTCGTTGGTTCTTATATTTAGTGTTCTTTATTGAATTGAAACTGCGGGTGTTGCAGGTAATTGTGGTGTTAAGTTTCAATACATAGTACTTCTTGCATAATTTGCAAAGAGCGTCACAAGCCTTTTGAAGATAGAAGTTTCCATCGCTATTTGTTGTGGTATTGACACAACGCTGTCACTTTGGTAGACAAATGAGTCAAAGGTATGCACAAAAACTACGCGACAAACAATATAATGTGAACATATAGGTCCTTCTAATTTATCAGAATTCGTGGATTTCAACAATCGATATGATGCGGTCCTTATGTCTCAAGGAATAAGTAAGAGCCTATGCCTCCCGAGGCCCGAGGAACAATAATTGCGTCTCATACGTCATCTTAAATACACCTCCCCTACCAAGGAAAACCTCTCTATACAGGGTGACTTTGAAGTTGAGTCATTAATTTTCAGATAATGATTGTAGAAGGAAGATAAACCAAAATATGTGTGTAAAAATAAAAAAAAATAAAAAAAAAATGTTACCTTGTTTAATAAAGTATCCTCCCGACAAGTATTTCAGTGCGGACCTGTATTTGATCGTGCGGTCTTGGAGCAGCATGCCCTCACCTGTGAGGTCTTAAGTCACCTGATTCACGACCCCTTTGCACTACATTAACAAAGGCACGAGGGGTTGGTTGCACTCGATTGGGAAACCGATTCGCATAAATCCGTGATGCATCCGGGAGCATTTTGTAAAGACTGCCCCCCCGTAAATAAGAATCATGTCCACAAGTTCAGCATTTTCGTAAACATGTGCCATTTTTGATTTCGTTTGAGCCACGCAACACACTACTATTCACTCAGGATTTATCGACTGACGAAAAACATCATGATAAACGTTTCAAATTCTTTCGCTTTTTTGTTTCCGATGCGATGAACCGGTCAGGCGGATTATATCCGTTGTCGCCAAACACGAGCATACATATAATAGGCAGGGCGGTACTTAAACTTCCAAAGGGCTATAACTTTGTTACTTTAATTTTACCAGAAAAATGGTAAAGGAAAAAAACATTTCTTTTGATCAGATCTACTCACTGTTAAAATAAATGACTCAACTTCGAAGTCACCCTGTATATAGATTTGTAACTTCAACAGGTTAAAACTTCAAACAATATATATATATATATATATATATATATATTTTGAGACGTGGTCATTGTCGTCTAGACCATTTAGGTGAAAAATTAAAGCTTCCGCCTTTTGTTGGGTACTTCGACAAAATTTAAGCAAAGAGGACTCTTTATACTTTTTTTAATTCTCTCTAGCTTTCAATGGACTTTGCCATCATCATCAGGAGCTGCAATTACAATGATAACAGTAGCAACAAAAGTGTAAAATGAATTTAAATTGACTCAACTTACAGTAGTATGTGAGGATGTTGCTAATTGTTGTTTACGTATAGGATGAGGGTTCATCTCACTCATTATTCCATGACCACCATTTTGTGCAATCATCAAGTGGCTTCACGACGTAATGCTCTAATGTTTTTTAAATAATTTTTAATCTGTTTTTAACTTGTCTTGTCATATTTTATATAATTTTGACCATTGTACCATCTATCCAGCTCTCACCATGTTACTGGACGTTTCCCTCATCCTATACGTAAACAACAATTAGCAACATCCTCACATACTACTGTAAGTTGAGTCAATTTAAATTCATTTTACACTTTTGTTGCTACTGTTATCATTGTAATTGCAGCTCCTGATGATAATGGCAAAGTCCATTGAAAGCTAGAGAGAATTAAAAAAAGTATAAAGAGTCCTCTTTGCTTAAATTTTGTCGAAGTACCCAACAAAAGGCGGAAGCTTTAATTTTTCACCTATATATATATATATTTAGCCCCTTGTTGTATCCGCAATGCCTCAATATTTAAAAATAACGAATCCTTCCTTACGATCTGATGTATTGAACTATATAAAAAAAATAGTTACTGATGTGCCAATTGGCGTTAAAAGTACCAATAGATTGCAAAATTATTTTGTAATTATTAATCTTTTTACGCAACTAAATCTTTCAGTGTTAACAGAATCTTTTTATTCATTGAAGATTGAATAGCTCCATCTCTACAGACCTATCAACCTGACGTTTGATGGTTAAATTCTTGACATTTGCTCAAATAAAAACAATTTTCTTTCAGGATAAGGAAAACCCTTTCCATTTTTGGTATATGGTGCCCAATAGTCTTACAAAATGCAAGATTCTCTGGACGACTATATAAAGATATCAAAGAATAACGGTGGCGATCTCCCAGTAGCTATTAGGTAATTCATACATAATTAATGATTCATTTCATCATTCAATCCCTGCCTTTATTTTCAGCAAAAACATCCAGATTACTGCACAGAGGAAAATAGAGTGTGATAGACGTGCACAGAAAATTGTAGAGTATTCAATCGAAGGAAAACTAAGGCCAGAGATATTCACCAAATGTGTATGTAACACATTTTATCCCTGTAATTGCATTAACTCAAATAGATTTATTTTCAGCTTCCTTATATAAATCAGTCGCATTATCAAGACATCGTTGAGGAAAGGGCTATAACAAAGTTATGTGGATATTCATTGTGTGGGAGGAGGATTCCAGACATGCCCAAGAAGCAGTATTTCATATCTATGAAAAGCAATAAGGTTTATGATATAACAGATCGTAAGGTAAGGTGCAACAGTTTAACTTATCTATAACATAATTTTCAATCTATTTAAAATCTGATTGAGTTATATATAGGTTATGGGCCTAGGCTCAATTTAGGTATATAATTCAAAGCCTATTTGAAGTACCTTTAAGTAGCACTGATTTTTCCAGAATTACTGCAGCAATTTTTGCTACAAGGCTAGTCTTCACATCAAGAAACAAATAGATGAACGCCCATTATGGTTGAGGAAACTTGATGACATTCCTGAATATCAGTTAATGGAAACTAGTGAGGGGTAATTTTTTGCTAACATAATAATCAGTATTACAAAAACCAGAATAATCATAAACTGATATTTCATTGTTAAATTAGGCCTTTCTTTTCATATGTTAAATTATCAAACAATTAATTGAAACCCTTTCACATAATGGCTTTAGTTTGAGATTACCTTATCTTAGTAGTAAATTAGTTGTTTCTTTATAATAGCTTTAGGGACATTGACATTTTAGTCATATGTCATTGACTGCTACTACTGGACTAATTTTGAAAACCTATAGAGCTTTTTTGCCCTTAGCATAATAATGTGAAATATTTCTAGCCAACTATGTATGAGCATATAGTTACAGCACCACCTACAAGATGCTAATCTTTAGTGGTAGATTTCGAATTATTGTGAAGAGGAGAAACTAGTCATGACTAATTCTCATAGTTGATGTAATAGTATCTCATGTGATCTCAGATAATTTTTGAGATGTGCAAATATGGCATTAGGTTGGGTATCTTCAGGTAGAATGTATTAATCAGCTCCCTGACTTATTTTAATGGTTTGGGGAGGAGATACTACAGGATCTAGCAATACACAATAAGGTCAATTTACAACAATATTGTCTTCACAGTGGCCTACCTGGGGAGTTCATCGACCAAGGTATCGCTAAACCAATTGCTGAAAAGCCATTCACATCTGTGTCTGCTTTCACAGACATTGGGCTAGAAGATTTAGTTGAAACTGAAAAGGTTGCAAAGGAAGGTACAAGTAAAAAGATTAAGCGTAAAAAAGGATCTAATCTTCATAAAACCATGCAAACTATAAATGAACATTCTGAAGATCAAGAAAATGTTGAACAGTCATCTTCATCAAGTAGTGCTTCAGAAGAAACAACTAAGAAAACAGAAAGTCCTCACAACCGCATATTACCAGTTATAGAGGAGGCTGAAGAGAAAATAGAAGAAAGTTCTGAAGTTTCTAGCAAAGTCAAGAAATCTAAAAAGAAAATCTCAAAGAGTGCTAAAATAGACATGGAGACACTTTTGAAAAGACTAGTAAAAGAATGGCTGACATTAGATACATATATTTTTCTTTATGGCGAGTCTAAAGTGAAAGAAATACTCACTGAGAAAAAATTGAGTGACTATTTTGACACCCTAGATGTAGCTGGTCTTCAAAGAGATCAACAAGTAAAATATATGAATATATGTCGGAAGTTACAGCTTCAAGAGATGGCTGATGAGAAGTTTGACAATGCTCTCGTAGGCAATAGTAAGTTAATGCCAATACCTGATTATAAAAAGTTGAAAGAAGAAACCAAAGAACTAGACATGAAAGTTAAGAGTTTCTATAGTGGTGTATTGCATGAAAAAGAAGATACTAACTTTCCTGCAGTTAAGCAAAAAGAGTCTGAGAAAAGTGAAGAGGAATCACCAACTTTCTTACCTTTAGTCGACATTAGCTCTCAAAATGCTTTAAGGAGGAAGGTGTTTTTGACATCCATCAATAAGTGGTGAGGATCTTGCCTTTTTCTTATTTGCTTTTAATATTTTTTTTGGATTTGACATAGAGCTTTGAAATCTAGTCACAGCATAACACACATCCATCTTATTGTGCAGCTGTCAGCTTGTAATTCATTAGAAGGTCACTCAAAGATTTAGCTCAATTTTTAGAGAGTCACATTACTGGGTGGTATTAAATATTCTGTAGCCAACTCAGGGTTTAAGGCACTGGAAGAAAATCGTATTCATCACTGTCTTTGACATCTGATGACTTTTTTATTGTATTACAGTATTACAATTATTTGGGTGTGATATTTTATTCCATTTTTAGGATGCAGCAATTACTTCAGGCCTTAAGAGTGACATCATACACAACAGTATTATCAGATCTACAGAATCTAGTTAAGACATTCCATTTGAAAGCAGATAATGTGGTATTTAAGCCTGTGGCATGGAACTACATTGCAATTGTTTTATTGAATATGTAAGTGTTTTCACACTTCTCTTATTTAAACGAGGGGCTGAAAATTGAATAAACAATATTTTCTGATATTCTTTAGCTGGTGGACAAATATTTTCTTTAGCTGTAACTCTCAGCACTACTCACAGAGTCGGAATGGGGTTTTATAAATATTTTGTTTTTGCATTACTTGGCAGTTTTGCATTCCACATATTTATTTTTGTTTCAGATTAGCAATACAAGATGAAAATATAAAGAATATCTTGGAGGAAAAATCGTCTCAAGAATTCATCAGCCTCCAGTTAGACTTATTACATAATAAGAATGAATGCATCATTGAAATTGTGAATAATGTTAGGAATATTGACTTATTTATCGAAAACTATATATCGTCGCGTTGAGTGTAATTTATAACATATTTTTGTTATATGAATAAAGTAAGCAAAAAGTGTCCGAGCCAAGTTTTGCTTCACTTAACGTTTCTATTTCGTGACGAAATCGTTAAAAAGTAGTACGTAAAATTTGCTACTAGGAACACAGAAACACGACGAGAATGCAGGATGACCGAACTGTTTTTGCAAATACCTCTCGCCGTTTCTGTGATCGTGACACAATTTAAAATAGCTGAACACTGTGCATCCAACCAGATTTTCATAACAAGATCACCAAGAAGTGATGTTTTTTAACAGAGTTTACACACTTTTCACAGTTCAACCCGAACTTAAACGCAACTTAAAGCGAGATTAGCGAGATGAAAGAAAACACTTGTTCACGCTTATGATGGTATATTGCAACTACTCTGACATTACAGAGTGACATGCACATAGTGGACAAACACAGTAGTAACGACATATGACACTAGATGTCGCTACTTTGACCAATTTTAAATATATAACAGCTACAGTAAACTTTTGGTATACTTATTCACAACACTCCCACTTAACAAAAGTTTACTAATGGTTCTCTAAAACCTTTTAAAATATCTGTCATGCACAACTTAACTTAAACCTAAACCCTTTACAAACTTTGAATTCTTAACATTTTGTAATGGTTTCGTTAAAACATCTGCAACCATTTCGTTAGTAGGTGTATACATTAATTTCACTTTACCTTCTAACACAATATCTCGCAAGAAATGGTACCTTATATCTATGTGCTTTGACCTATCATGGAACATTGGATTGCTAGCAAGCTTCTGAGCACTTTGATTATCATTATGAATCTCAATACAATCCAATTTTCCAGTTAACTCGCTCAACAAATTCCTCAGATATATGGCCTCTTTTGCTGCCTCGCTTAGAGCCATATACTCTGCCTCAGTTGTCGACAAAGCAACAGTACGTTGTTTACAGCTTTTCCATGAAACTGAACCCCCTGAATATTTAAATACATAACCAGTAAATGACTTTCTGTCTTGCTTATTGGACCCCCAATCTGCATCTGCAAAACCTGTCAAATTTAAATTATCCTTAAAAAATTTCATAGACAAGCTCTTTGTACCCTTTAAATAACGAAGTAAACGCTTTGCAGATTGCCAATGAACTTTAGTGTATGAGTTATTATACTGACTTAATAAGCTCACAGCATGAGAAATATCAGGTCTGGTCATTACCGAAAGGTACATTAAACTTCCAATAAGCTCTTGATATGGAACTTTTGGATCACAAATTTCACCACTGATATCGCTCAAGTTGATACTACTGTCAAGCGGAGTACTTACTACTTTGCTATCTGACATACCAAAACGACATAAAAGTTCATTAATATACAATTCTTGATCAATTGACAAACAATTTTTCGAATAATCCCTAGTAATTCTTATACCTAAACATTGTTTTGCCTCTCCTAAATTCTTAATTTTAAACTTTGAGTTTAAATGACCTTCAAGAAACTTCATTTCATTGTCATCAGACGAAAAACAGAAAAAATCGTCAACATAGAGAGCAACAATGGTTAACAAATTACTGTTATTCCTTTTAATGTACAAACAAGGCTCATATTTGGACTTAGAATAACCAATTTTTGACAAAACTTGGTCGACTTTTTCGTTCCAAGCACGACTAGATTGTTTTAATCCATAAACTGCTTTCTTCAATCTATACACTTTATTTTCTTTATCTTTAATGACAAAACCTTCAGGTTGCTGCATAAATACATTTTCTTTCAGAATACCATTCAAGAAAGCTGTTTTCACATCCAAGTGTAAAATTTTTAGATCTAGCCTAACAGACAAAGCAAGCAATAAACGAAAAGTTGAGTGCCTTACCACTGGGGCGAAGGTTTCAACATAGTCCACACCCTCTCTCTGTGTGAAACCTTTAGCCACAAGCCTAGCTCTATACCGGTTATGGCTTTCATTATCACTCTTCACTTTATATACCCACTTGCACTGCACCACTGTACCAACTTCTGGCGGATCTACTAATTCCCAAGTGTCATTATCGATAAATGACTGTATTTCTTCTGACATAGCTTCTTTCCACTTCTGCCCATCTGGCCTTGAAAGAGCCTCAGTCACTGATGTAGGGATACTCGAGTCATAGACTTCACCCTTGCTGTTAACACCTCCAAAATATGTCACAAAATCTTGAAAATTCTTCTTCTTGATCTGTCTTTGGGATCTTCTTGGAGTTACTTGTTCACCATTATCAAACAAGTCATGGCACTGACCTTCAGGCACATATTCATCATCATCCGAGAAGTATACATCATCTTCAGAAGATTCATCATCTGAATACATGGGATTCTGCTCTCCCACTGAATCTGGAACTTCCCTTTGCTTATCTGGAACACTATCCGGCAACACTGTACTTGGAATTTCCAAACTTGGTTTCTCTATGATTGTTACATCACGGCTTACTATGACTTTCCTTGTTCTGGGGTTAAAACACCTATATCCTTTGGTAGTTTCATCGTACCCAACAAGCACATGCTTCACTGACTTCTCGTCCCACTTGTTCCTACTGACCTTCGGAACATGAACCATGGCGGTACTCCCATATACCCTAAGATGACTAAGATTTGGTTTCTTACCTGTCCAAATCTCATATGGTGTCATTGAAAGCTTTGAACATGCTGAACGGTTTTTCAGGTAACAAGCAGTATTACACGCTTCCGCCCATAATGCCTTGGTCAAGCTCTCATCAAATAAAAGACACTTAGCCTTCTCCACAATGGTCCGGTTGAACCTCTCAGCCATCCCATTTTGCTGCGGAGTGTGACTGCTCGAAGTCTGGTGTATGATGCCTGAATTCTTTAAAAAACTATCCATTTCTCTATTACAGAATTCCCCACCATTATCGCTTCGCAAAATCTTAATCTTAACATTCTGTTGATTCTCAACTAATGATTTAAATTGCTTAAACTTATCAAAAGTTTCATCTTTTGTCTTCAGGAAATATATAAAGCACATTCTGCTGTAATCATCTATAAATGTCAGGAAATATTTAGCTCCACCAATAGATGTTGTTTCCATAGGACCACAAATGTCGCTATGAATGACCTCTAGCAGTTGCTGTGCTCGACTGCCTTCTTTGGGAAAAGGTAAACGGGCTTGCTTGCCCCTACAGCATACCTCACAACTCCCAATGCTTGTACCATTACAGATAAGACCATCAACCAACTTGGCTGTCTTATTCAGGTAGCTGTCATTAATGTGACCTAAACGTTGATGCCATAAATTGCTACTTACAGCTTGAAAACACACTGGCTCCTCACAAACGTTCAACTTGTAAACGTTGTTATGTAGACTAGCAGTAGCTACTGATACACCAACTTTATTGTAAATATTGCATCCCTCTTCATGAAAACTTACTCTATTTCCATTATTGATTAACTGGCCTACTGATAATAAGTTAGTTGTTAAACCAGGAATATACTGTACACCTTCTAGTAAAATCTTGTGCTGTTCATTGGTCATTGTTTTGATCTCAACATCACCTGCACATTCCACAACAACTTTCGATTTGTTAGCCATTACAATATCAGGTAAGTCAGGCTTTCTCCTGTTTTTTAACCACTGGCTATTGGCAGTTAAATGCTTGCTGGCACCACTATCAACATACCAATCTGTGACCTTAAAATCACCTGTTGTAAACACGGCACTAAATCCTCCTTCAAGTCTGTTATTGTTAGGGCATTTTGACATAAAATGTCCTGTCTTTTTGCACTTGTAACACACAATATTACTCAGATCCTTTTTATTATGTCCATTTCCAAAACCACTGTTTGAACTTGACCTCGATTGAACCCCGAAATCATCTGTGTTTGTTGACATTCCCGCTTGGCTAGCACCAGCTGATTTTCCTTTGAAATTCGTCCTACTAGCGCCACCTCGCGACTGTTTCCGAAAACTCGGTTTCTTGGCGGAGAATGCACCTGCACTTCCATTACCACTAGCGCCATCTGTCTGCATATCCAATAACTTGGTCTTTATTGAATCTGTGGTTATGCAGATTCCTGAGTGCTCGACGGCCATGATCATTGGTGCGTACTTGTCTGGAAGACCGGCCAGCAGCAATGATCCTACCCACTCCTCGTCTATTTTGAAACCTGTTCTGCGTAACTTTTGGGAAGTCTCAACAATCTGGTTTATGTACGACTCCATACTATCATGATTCTCTAATCTTGCCGATATGAGTGTACGTAAAAGTCCAATCTTTCGCATGAAACCACTGTCATCATATAAACGTTTGAGACTGGTCCATACTTCTTGTGCAGTCGTTAAATCTTTGACATGCGGGAACAAAGATGGATCGATGGTTAATACTAGCTTGGCCTTTGCTTTTGCTAGGGTCGTTGTGTCGGTCTCGGTACCTTCGATGCATTTGTTTAAGCCCTCTAGCACAAACACATTCTCGACGGCAAACGCCCATTCATCATAATTCTCACGGCCTAAAAGCCTTGGCACACTCGTCAGGTAGTTGACGGCCATATTTGTTCTGTGAGAAACACTTGCGTCACGACAGTTTCTTTCAACGTCTCGATTCACTAAAGTTTCGCTGCTGGGTGTCCTACTGTGGGTCTGGGCCCATAACCTGATGTTTTTTAACAGAGTTTACACACTTTTCACAGTTCAACCCGAACTTAAACGCAACTTAAAGCGAGATTAGCGAGATGAAAGAAAACACTTGTTCACGCTTATGATGGTATATTGCAACTACTCTGACATTACAGAGTGACATGCACATAGTGGACAAACACAGTAGTAACGACATATGACACTAGATGTCGCTACTTTGACCAATTTTAAATATATAACAGCTACAGTAAACTTTTGGTATACTTATTCACAACAAGAAGTAGTACGTAAAAATTGTTACCAAGATCACAGAAATACATAGAGGTATCAAAAGTCATTTTGCTCCTGGTTGTGAGAGATTCTTTTCAAATATCTCTCGTCTGTTTCTGTGATGCTGATACAGAATTTCAAGTAGCTGAAAACTGCGTATCCGACCA